GCAGCTGCGCACAAGGTGAGTACAAATGTATTGATTGTTGATGCCCTCAAATGCCAAGGCTCAAGGGAATGGTTACAGAAATGTAATTTCTAATTCACACAGACGTCAGCGGGGATTGGAATGTTTTCATATTGGAGTAGAAAGAAAACACACTCACAAACATGCGCCGTGAATGTTTAGATGCTGTAATCCTGTGTTTTTCTGTGTACAGCTCTGAGGGGATGAGCAACAGCCTCCTGCTTTTTCTTCCACTTCTTCTTTTTTTTTTCTTCTTTCTTACAGACTGCGTGTGGTCAGGAAAACAAAGGAACATTTCTTTTTTTTTTTTTTGCGCATGAATAGACTGCACACAGACACCAGCAATACATAATGGAAAGAACATATTTCATACAGGGTTGACCTCCATCTAGTGGCAGAACTGATTCCGCTTGAAACGCATTAAGATTAATGATGGAGTCCCTGTAACGCAGAGGAGACAAGACGGTGGTGAAAGTCGGCTTGAAAAGAATGAGCCGGAGAGAATGGAATAGAGCACGATAAATTATATATACACATGCATACACACAACAGACAACAACAGTGGCCTTTTAATTATGCCCAGAGCCAGAACATAAACCCACGGAGCGGCTTCCTTTTGTTAATATGACCCACGTTTCCGAAACAGCCTTCCTCGAGACCCGAGGGCAGCAGAGAATATTGGTATTTTAAAAGCAGAAGCTTTTTAGTCTGGCTTTTACATAATTGATTTTATTTGCTGATTTATTCATCTGTCTCCTTATTTATACATTTTACTCTATTTTAGCTGTCTTTTAACACTTTAGTTTTCTATTATTCTCTCTCTTTTTTTTGGTAGATTTTCTTTGACTTATCTTGCTTGCTGGTGTGTGCTTATTGAATTTATTTATCACGGCACACAATGAGCCTCCAAATGTTTAATTAAAAATGACAAAGCCCATTATAAAGCACCACGCAATTAAGTGTCCATGACGACAAGGACGATTCCTAAATATTGTTATGGTAATGCAAATGCAATTATTTCCCTGCGGTCGACGTACACGGTAATTACAGTCATAAAAGGGATTACGCACAAGGAAAAGTTTAACAGAGAACTCTCAAATTGATGTATGATGTAGTGTTTTCTTTTCTTTAAACTCGCCTTGTTTTATATAAACCCTCAGTTCTATATATATTTAACCAGGTGAGGCTTCGCAGTCCTCTGTTGCGAAGGAGATGTGGTTGAAAATGGACTGTATAAAAAACCCAAAATGAATTAATTAATACTAACATTAACCTAAAGTCCCTGTCTGGTTATTGATTTAACCTTGAAAAACTCACGTGTGTATCAAAACGACATATGTACAAGTGGATGTTTTAATAAAAAATGATTCCTTCCTGCTTTAAAATTATTTCGATGGAACTCACCAGTGATGCGTCCTTCAGAATCCGTTGCTCTTTGCCTCTTTCTCCATCCCCACTCACTGCAGCTCGAGCACACCAGCTCACCTGCCACTCTGCTCAAACACTGTAAAACTACTCTCCAGTGACAAGTGAAGTAATTCAGCCACATATGATCGAAAAAGAAAAGAATTCTGAGGGTGATTAATGATTCAGAAAGCCCCAACATGCAGGTCGACAGGATGAGGTTTGAATCAACGTTTATGTGACTACGATCACTACAGTGGGGCTGCAAGGTGGAGCAGTGGTTAGCATCGTTGCCTCGCAGCAAGAAGGTCGCCGGTTCATGTCCCGGTGGGGACACCAGGGTCTTTCTGCGTCTCCATGTTCTCCCCTTGCAGCGTGGGTTCTCTCCGGGTTCTCCGGCTTCCTCCCACACAGTCCAAAAACATGTTGAGGTTAATTGGTGAATTCTAAATTGTCCGTAGGTGTGAATGTGAGTGTGTTTGGTTGTCTGTCTCTAAGTGTAGCCCTGTGATAGACTGGTTACCTGTCCAGGTGAACCTGTCTTCACCCTGAGTCAGCTGGGATAGACTCCAGCCCCCCATGACCCTAGTGAGGATTAAGCGGTGTATAGATAATGGATGGATCACTACAGTGCAGTTTTTATGTGAAAATGCTTTTTTGCACAGGGTGTGTCTTCCAGCATTAAAAAAACAGAAACACTAAATGGACATGCTAACAAGGTAAAAAAAAAAAAACTTTTAACAGGAGGAGGTGTTGACTCATTTACCCTGACATTTACAATAGTCCTAATTCTGTCCATACATTAGGAACCGACAGCACTAATGCAGTTTATCAAATAAAACCCGGTGAGTTCTACATTTTCCAATTTTCCAACCACTAACAGCAACACTGGCCATTTGTTTTGTTACCTAAACCACTAAATGAAGTGCCTGCGTTGCTCAGGGTATTTTGTTGTTGTTGGCTCTTGTCATTCTAACCTCTGGGGTGACATTAACCTATTGTACAGTAACCTGAAGCTTTTTCTGAAATGACAAACGTGGCTGTTATAAACAGTAATTAACAAAATGCACTACAAAAAAGTAAATGTCAGGAAAATGCTCACGAAGGACTGTAAAGGAAAAAGCACTGCAGCAGAAACCTCCGTCCACGAGACACGGGTAGCACATGGATGACACCGTCTCACTCTGAATTCACATTTGTCTTCAACTGAAGGTGAACCAAACATTAATATTAACATTTTCAAGGTCTAGCCGACTCTTGGCTCAACAGCTGTTCCAGGCGTCTCATTAGCCCATTCAATTTCCAGTTCAGTTCAGTCTGAGAATAGGCAGTTCAAGCATGAAATGTGGAGCTGTTACTTTCAGGTAATTTGTGAACTCATTCTAATTTAGTCTGTCTTTTGTCATGTGTCTCCTTTCTTAAGATAAGTGCATCTCAATCACGTTCACATTATCTGCATATTCTCCCACAAGTTTTCTGTCCCACTGCGTCTCTGCCCGCATGTGTTAATTAGCTGTTTCATTATGACGTTATGAAACAAACACTGCAGTCGAGTTCTCCAGCAACAATAACTGAAATCGTCTCTCTCGTGTCCGTCCCGCGGGCTTTACAAGGAGACAAGATTTACTAGCTTGCATCTAATATTTCTTCAGTTTGCACTTCTTTCTTCGCAGTAGTTTGGAACAGAGAGGTTGCCACCATTGTGTCTATCTCTAAATGTTATCCTTAAATCAAAGGCGGTCAGTGGTCTAGAGTGGCATGATTAGTGTTTAATGTTCATTCAATTTAAATACAATCAGTAAATATGTGGACAGGACTTTAGATACACTGACAATTCTTCAGAAAGTCTCCAAAAGGTCACACTGAGTTTTGCTAAAATTGAAGATCTGCTTCCTCAGGCAAAACTAAACCTACATGTACGAAGTAGAACTGGATGCTGGATTCAAAGATTGCACCCACTCATTTGAATGAAAACTGCTGAGCAGGCACATATGCCAAAAAGTTTTTTGGCTTCCGGGTTTGCATCTATGTTGTGCATCCCACTTGCTTACCCTCCCCTGGCCTATAGACTTTGCATTGTGTGGACTATACTCTATGGAAGTTTTACAAATATGAAACTTGTATGGAATAAACATTTATAATAGAAATAGGAAAGCAAACCTTGTTTCATGTTGGAATAATTTTTGGGCTGCAGGGGGTTTATTTGTTGCAGTACCACGAATCTGTCAAGAGGACAAAATGGCATCAAGACTGAGTGGCAGTGCCCTGTCTGGATCAAAGTGTCTTTTTTGCTGTGTTGTAAGACCAGCATCAAATGGCAAATTATATTAAAAAATTTTTTTTAAAAACTCCAAAATAATGTAATGTGAACTAATGTAGCTTAGCATCTGTAGCATGTTTGATTAGCAAACAAGTTATCGTAGCATAATAAGCTTTGTTTGGTTGGCCGAAAACTTACTTTTTTGCTTCTTTATCCACTTTCAAACACTGTTTTAGCACTCTTAAGCAAAATTGAAAAAAGCTCCAAAAACCCAGCACATATGACCTACCAAGCATCAAATGTTGGAAACACCAAGTTAGCAACTAGCTAGTAAACACAGTGGGGCATTTACTGACCAAAGAGCGAAATAGTTCCTTAGCAGTAGAAAAAAAGCAAAGTCGAGTGTACACTGACTGTACTTACTGTACAATTATCATGAAAACACAAACATGAAAACTCCTACTAAATACCAATGTAGCTTAGCATCTGTAGCATGTTTGATTCGCCAACAGGTTTTCCATAGCATTACAAGCTTTGTTTTTTTTTGGCCCAAACATGTACTGTTTTGTTCCCTAGCCACATTCATAGCACTATATTAGCTTTGTTCATCTTGAAAAGCTCCAAAACCCAGCAAATACCACCTGCCCAGCATCAAATGGCAAACATACCAAGTTAGCAACAAGCTAGTAAAAACAGAGGCCCATTTATTGACCAAATAACAAAATATTACACCTAATAGTTTGTGGAGACCAAAGCAGAACTAAATCTATACTCAATGTACTTTCTACACATTCATCATGGGAAAACAAACATAAAATTCCTGCTGAATACTAACGTAGTTTAGCATCTGTAGCATGTTTGAGAAGCAAATTAGTAAGCCATAGCATGACAAGCTTTAATTGTTTGGCCTCAAAATGGACTGTTTTGGTTCTCTAACCATTCTTGTAACTATGTTTCAGCTCTATTCAGTTGAAAAATCTTCAAAACCCAGCAAATATTACCCGTCCATTATCAAATGGCAGACATACCAAGTTAGCAACTAGTTAGGAAAAACAGTGGGGCATTTAGCAACCAAAGAGCCAAATATTTCACTCAGCAGTTGGTGGAGACCAAAGCAGAGATAAATGTCGACTATTATACATTTATTAAGGGAAAACAGTCATGAAAACTCCAACTAAATGCTACCATTGCATCGGTGTGAGATTAGCTAGCAAACTTACAGAAACAAGTGTTGTCTCTTTTTGCCCTGTAACTGTCAAGAACTCATACACTAATTGCAAAAAAAGTTTAATAAAAATCACACAAATGTCAAACAGGATTAAATTCTGAAAAGCTGAAACTTTATATGCACGAGTTCAAAGGCCAGCTTCACTGTAACATCGTAATGTTCTGCAAAAACACTTATCTCGACATTATTCAACACCATAACACAATAACAGAAGGAGAAATGAATGCAAACTGTAGCTCGACTGAATGGCGGCGAAACAAAACCACACGGCAGTCATTTTATTTTTCCCATTAAACATAATTATTGATTAGGAAATGATGGCCCTCTACAGTGAAGCATTATGATTTAATTTCCTCTCACAAATGATTACGTGGTGAAGAAACAATGAGTCATATACATAATTATTTTCATTTTATTTAGTCTACAACCGGAACCCAGCGAAAAGAAAATACAGCATTACTAACCACAATGAACAGACATCCGCAATATGTGCCAAGTTCGTTTTGCATGATGAATTTCGGTTTCAGTTACATGTGATCTGCGGACTGTAGCAGCTGTATGTGGAAAGCAGCAAGCAAGACGCATAACTCTCCGAAGATGTCAAACGGAACAGTATCTAATCTAGAAAAAAAACAAAAAACGAGGGAAGACAGCGCATGTTCTGTGCAGTAAACTGACACAACATTTACATTCAATAACAGAGAGTAGCAATAAACACCGCTCGGGCTGATCTCAGTACAAGTCCTGGGATTCCTTGTTAATGAAAACAACTGTAGCATTTTGCAAGTCACTTACATCCCCTGGATACTCCTGCGGGAGACAGAAAGATAAACGACTTCTTTAATGATAATGGTGCTTTTGAACAGGATCTAATAGAACAGTGACAGATATGGTAATAGAGGGCTTACATTGAATCTTGCTTTAATGTCCTTAACTTGTCTTCGCACAGGATCCACCTCTAGAAATGAATAGTGGGGACATTAAAGGCACGGGAAAAAAAAAAAGAAAAAAAGATGCAAATGATCTTACCTTGCACAGATATATCTAATGCATTTACTATGATTCAGAGGATCCGCGGTATTGTATTGCACACATTATATATTTTAAATTGAAAGAAGGTAGAAGTTGCCCTACTGTGCAGTTTCCACAACTTTCTTCCCAGTATGGCCAAAGCCACGAGGAGCATGAGAGACGAACACACCACGATAGGCTCCAACATGCGACTGAAACACAGACACAAAGCAGTCGGAGCAGCGTCTAGCTTCAGCATTTGTTTAAACATCATAAACATCACTCCTACCTGTGACTGTTCCAGGACTCCTTAGTGATGGGTTTGGGTGGAGGCAGATGCACCACGGACTGTTGCGGTGCAGGTGGGGATGTTGTCGACGCCGCTGTTGAAGATAAAGATATTATACACAGAGGTGGAGATGATATATTGTAAGCGAAAGCGTGTTTGCAGGGTTCAAAAACACAGAGATTCTTGACTTGTAATAATCGATCCGTTGTACAGCTGGAGACCTGAGAACCCCCGCCGTCTGTCACAAACACATATTGATCGTTAAAGCTGCTGCTTCTCCTTTCAGCAGTGACATTGGGGAAAGGCCGTGCAGTCGCAGAATTGTTCTTACATTTTCTGCCTAAAATGTGCTATTTAAACAGCCTTCAAAGACTTTGAGGGGGTTTCAAATGGTGAGTCTGTTGGGGACATCGATCAGTCTGTTTGTTGGTTGGTTACGGTGAAATAACTCTAATACATGGATCGCCGTAAAAATCTTACTCAGATAATATACTGACTGGTGACAAATTGAGGCAAAAACCTCAACCCTTGACCCCTACAGCGAGGGGACGCTGTGGATCTGGTGTGCAGTGGGAGGCGTTTCGCTGACATGGTTTGGGCCCATTTGTCTCCTTTGAGGTGAAGGGTCGCTGCAAATTATCTGAGTGATCACCTGCATCCTGTCATGAAACATTTCCATACTGATGAGATTGGTCTCTTCCAGGATGATAATGCATCATCTAGAAGGCATAAGGGGTCACTGAATGGTTTAAATAACAATGATGTGAAGCTCATGTTATGGCCTTTGTAGTCAGCAGATCTACTCGTTTAGATTTAGTGTTTTGTTCTTTAGATCATCCATCCATTATCTATACACCACTTAATCCTCACTAGGGTCGCAGTGGGGCTGGAGTCTATCCCAGCTGACTCAGGGTGAAGGCAGGGGACACCTGGACAGGTCACCAGTCTATCACAGGGCTACACTTAGAGACAGACAACCAAGAACACTCATAATCACACCTACGGACCAATTAGAATCACCAATTCACCTCAACGTTTTTTTGGACCTTGTGGGAGGAAGCCAGAGAACCCGGAGAGAACCCACGCTGCACGGGGAGAACATACAAACTCCACACAGAATGACTCCGGTGCCCCCACCGGGACGCGAACCGATGACCTTCTTGCTGCGAGGCAACAGTGCTAACCCCTTGCAGCCCTCTCTAGATCATGTTAGACTGTTTGTTAGCACTTTAAAATCATTTAACGCCCAATAAAAGAAGAAAATAAACCTTGATCAGTGCCGTTTTGTTAACTAAATGACCGACCAACTTGTCTAGATTCCCATTCAATGCAATATGAAAGAACATTATACTTGTTAGANAGATTCCCATTCAATGCAATATGAAAGAACATTATACTTGTTAGATAAAGCTGAGGCGTCTTTGCTTACCAGTGGTGGGCCGCGGCGTGACCAGCACCTGCACGGATAACTGCTGCTGCCCTGCAGAGCACAAGTACCAGCCAGAATCTCTCATCTGCAGCTTCTTTAAGGTTACAGTGAAAGCCCCAGTTCTGTCATCGCTGATGGCCACTGAAGTATCTTCGTAGCTCCCCTCAGAACCTGTCAGCCGGCAGGAGCGCTGGTCTCCGCTCCGACACCACTTCTTCTCACTTTCTCTGTTGGCAGGCAGTCACAGGGGAGTCAGGGGATGCTGACTGTCCACCAGCACTGACATGATTTGGAGATTTCAAACAAATAACCACGTTTCTAATGTGTGATCGACTCGGTTTTAACAATTCGGATTTGAAAACGTCTCCACGGTGAAATAGTTCTAAAAAATGTCCCAAAAACAAGATAGGAAACATCCAGCACCTGTATCTCTCACTGTAGAGGCATTCAACTGTGACACTACTTCCCTCCTCCCCACTCACTCTGCTGTGCAGGATTGACATACCTGCAGAAATGATCGAGAAAATGCATGAAAAACCAGTTTGCAGCTGCGCAATATCAGTTCATGATCCACAGATTGCTCACCGTGAACGACCTTGATGTTGGTGAAGGCGACGTCATCAGCGTTCCACACACTGCCTATCTCCACGCCGCACATGTACCACCCCGAGTCCCCCACCTTCAGCTTGTTCATGGTCACTGTGAACACCTGCTGGGCCGGGTCGTCGAAAACGCTCACTTTATCCTCAGCCGGATCGTTCGGGCCGGTGTCGTCGGTTCGAGCTAAGGTGGTGCAGAACTCCCTCGTTGTCCCCTGGCACCAGTATTTCACATGGCCGGCGTACTGACGCTCATAATGGCACGGGATGGTGAGGGATCCACCCTCCAGGACTATAAACTCCTCCTCTGTGTTTACCCTGCAGAGGGAGGCTGATAGAAAGTGGAGACAACTAAATGTTGGAGCGCCAGTTTGAGCTTTCTATCATGCCACAGACGGAACAGCACCGTTACTCACAGTGGACAACTCTTATCTGCAATTGTGAGATGTGGCCTTGAGCAATGCTTGTGCCTAATTTATGTCTGCTACTTCCTTTGTTACAAGCCATTTTTTTCCCACCCTAACGTCTCCTCTCCATACTTCTTATTTCAAAATTGGATTATCCCTCTATGTTACACAGGCTTTTGAAGGTTTGACAAAATAAACATCAAACATGCTGTTGCCATTGGGCAAACAGTACGGGAAGCTTGGAAGATTTACAAAAACACAAAAGCTCTCTCAGGCTCCTGCAGTAAGCGGCAGCTCGAACAACCTTTCTAGTCTGTTTTCAACAAAGGATTAATACAGTAAAGTAGTAAAACAGTGAAGGGAATTGAAGCATAAAAAGCGTGTTACATTATAGCGCTACTATTTGCCAAAAGCACAATAACAACGGGAGGAGGCTGCAGCCCGACATTAAACATCCTGTTTTTAACAATTATCCACAACTGTGAAGGTTTTTTTTGGTACTTTTGTAACAAGATGACCTCAGTCGTCATAGTTATTACCTGGGATCCATGGTAACAAGCCGAGGGTGAGTATGTAGAGCTGCAGCATGTTTCAACCTAAAGTTTTCCCAGCAAATTTTCTTCTCACTGCAAACACAGACTCCAGGTTCCGCAGTGGCAAATTCCTCGTGGTCATGTGATCGTAAGTTGGATCCAGATGTTCCAGATGTTAACCATGTAAGTGCCAATTGGATTTTAATTGCCTTGGACGTCTACCAAGCTGAGCTGACTGTGCAGCTGATGTTAGTTTCCATGATTTGTCTGTGACTTTCTGAAAACAACTGTCTCACTTGCGTGCCCTGAAAATAGCATTCCTCCTGTTGTGTTTCTCAGTTCTTGAAAGGGTTAAATTGGAAATGTGTGAAAAATCAATGCAAGTTGTATTTCTGTAAGATATGAAGGGGGTTTTCTTTCATTCTCAGGCACTTCCTTATTGAAATAAACATCACAAATGCAATGGTATTCAAGAGAATCAAGATTTTACAGGAACAGATAAACATTTTTACAAATAGATTCATTAGCTTTCTTGTCAAGTGATGAGAAGATTGATACCTCACATGGCTGCATGGTAAATGAAGCTACAGCTAGCGGCAAGTTAGCTTACGTTAGCTCGCATAAACACAGGAGAAGACAGCTAGCCTGTCCAAAAGTAATACATCATTAAGGTTTCATTAAGGCCCATTAATTATTAAAATGAACAAGGTCACATAACACCTAAAAAACCACAAGTTTATATGTAGACAATTTGGTTTTTGCACAAATTGCATGCTAAGCTAAGCTAATTATGTTCTGGATGTAGCTCTAGATGTACTGTAGCTGTGTATAAAGCGTACAGACATGCGAAAAGTATTGATCTTTTTGTCTAACTCCAGACAAAACAACACAAAACCGTGTTCACCAAAATGTTGAACTGTTCCTCAAAGTTTTTGGCTTGTAAGTTGAAGCATGTCATACTTAGCCTTAGCCATTTTTAATAACCTTTTCTCCCCAAGCAGCCGCACTCTAAGTCCCCTTTCCCTTCACGGCTGCAGGGGATTCATTTGGCAGGCTGCAGTTAAATTGCTTGATTTTGATGCCTGAAAACTTTGGAGTCGGTCCAGTCTTCATTTGTCGGATTAGGCTTCTGCACACAACCCCCTCAGCCACTGAATTAACCAACAATTATTCCAGCCCTCTCAATTTGCTCTGTGAAGGATGTCCCCGAACTCCCTTATTCTTTTTTGTTGCTGTTGCCACTGAGCCTTTTATGGTCATCCATTTCCTGGAAAGATTGAGGCAGATCTCGGAAATGAAACTGAACTTTTTTTTTTCCCTCCCTTGACAGCTCAGGCACATCGGAGAATCGAAACTTAACATTCCCAAAAGCAATTCAGGAGCCAGTGGAGCTCCTTGTCATATCCCTGTATCCTTACATACCTCTCAGCATTGTGAAAGACTGGTTTATATATTTGTTTGTCACCGCTACAAAAGATATGAAACATTATATTTTGGTGAACTTTTCCTCTTGCCTCTCACAGCATGTGAACCTGATTAAAATGTCAGGGCCAGAAACATCTTCTATTAATTCCTCAGATATCGTCGGAAAGCTGCGTGATAGAAATTCTACATTTTACCAGCTTTACTGTATTAATACTATATTTTCCTGCTGCCGCTGGGTAAGGCATTCTTTTTACATATGCCATATATTAAGCATGTGCTCTGTCTCGTAAAGGTTTGTCTCTCGTCCACTCTTGTTTATGCCGAGGAGGCCACAGCTTGACCCCGAGGCCTTGGAGGGAACACGAGACCTTATCTTGTCTCTGTTGCGGGTGTAAATCAGAGTTTCAGGGGGCATGAAAGGATGATGAGCCCACACAAATAACTCCGAGGAGTGACAGGTTGCCTTGTTAGCGAACAAAGCTCGATGTAACGGTTAAATCCAGAGAGGCTGACCCCCAGCTTTTCAATGCGTTGGGATCGATATGAGAATATGGTGGAGTTTGACTATCAACAACGACGTATCGCCTCGTCGTAATTACACTGTGACTCATCAGACGTTTGATTCCAGATATACAATTGAAAAAACAGTCGCAGATATCTCAAAGGTCATTATGACTGGACTGTTGCGCAATTTCCAGCTGTTCCCGTCGCATGTTTGTTTATTCAGACGTAACATCTGAGATGCCCTTTCGCCCAGTCAAAAGTCTAATTCCAGATATCTGAGGCAGAATTCCACACAGAGATATCCACATCATCATTCTGACTATGCATAATTCAAGTTCAACATATCTACACGACTAGTTCTGACTGGTTCAAACTGAATTTAAGATATCCGCAAAGGACCGAGTAGATATACTGAATCGAGGGGAGTTATGATTATTCAGAACTAAAGTGCAGATATCCGAAACTGGAATTGAAGCGAGTCATATTTTAGCTGCAGATATCTGCAATTCACATTTCTGCAGATGTCTTTAATGAGAACCTCCATACATGTGAATGGCATCATTTGTCCTGGAACAAACGACGATGTAAATATCTGAAATGACAGCCGTGGATGCCAGTAATGACACTGTGGGTATCTGAAATGTTCCTTTTGACTTGGAAGGACTGAATTTCAGATGCACGCAGTACACATCCCGTCTAGCTACTAAACGTTAATGTCGTATGAGAGACAAACTTATCTGTGAGACAGAGTGTGATTTTGTACCTCGTGTGCATAAAATCTAAAACGCTACTGCTTCTTCACTTCATTACAGAAAATGTCTCTGACTTTAAAATGTTTTCCTATTTGTTAAGCAACCTGGCTTTGACATGGTTCAAGCAAAATGGTGCCACGATGCCTCCTAATGTTTGTTTTTATTATTAGGGCTCTTCTTTCTGTTCATTGCTTAGCCCCGGCTAACCTTTTACTCATTTATTGTACCTGAAAAATACTTTATTTGAATAAAATGCAAATGCACCTGTAATCATATCATAAATAAAACACCATTACTGGGTCCTTTTTCCCTGAAAAGTGGCTTTTAAATTGTTTAAAAGCCAATTGCGTCAGTAAATGTTGCTGACAATGCTTACACACTTAAATATGGGGGCTGTGTGGAGTCTCCATGTTCTCCCCGTGCAGCACGGGTTCTCTCCGGGTTCTCCGGCTTCCTCCCACACAGTCCAAAAACATCCATCCATCATCTATACACCGCTTAATCCTCACTAGGGTCGCGGGGGGGCTGGAGCCTATCCCAGTCGACTTAGGGCGAAGGCAGGGGACACCCTGGACAGGTCACCAGTCTATCACAGGGCAGTCCAAAAACATGCTGAGGTTAATTGGTGATTCTAAATTGTCTGTAGGTGTGAATGTGAGTGTGCTTGGTTGTCTGTCTCTAAGTGTAGCTCTGTGATAGACTGGTGACCTGTCCAGGTGAACCTGCCTTCACCCTGAGTCAGCTGGGATAGACTCCAGCCCCCACGACCCTAGTGAGGATAAGCGGTGCATAGATAGTGGATGGATGGGCTTAAATATGGCTTGAAATGCAGGACTTTTGCTTGCGAGTGGTATCTCATGTGAAGGATCTGCATGCTTCCATTTCTGCCCGTGTATCCTCGAGTTACCTTTACCAGCCCCGCACCCGGGAAAGAGGCATGTAATGAGCAACATAATGATAATCATATTTAACTTCAGCATGTGGAGGCGAGCACATGGACTTTTTCCCGCTATTAAATCAGCACACGATGAGATCTGACCTTTCCAGGAGAAATGTGAGATGTCAGACTTAATTCGGCCTATTTTTCATCTCTGCATGCAAGGTAGTTTCATTTTCAGGGTTCGTACTGACCCACGCGTTCACACCACAAGACCAAAGCAGCTGAGACGTAGCCTCGGGTCGGAGCATTCTGTGACAAATGTGAGCCAGCACTGGCTCAGCGCAGTTTAAAGCAATTTTAGAAGGAATGTGTTTGACTCGATCACTTCTTCCAGAACAAGTAATAGAAGCGAACCCTCTTTTTTTTTTTTTTGCTCTGGGGGGTAATGTTCTAGCTTTGTCCTCTCTTAGCAGCAACAGGGCAGCAGGGAAATGCTGGTTCAACTTGTAGTCTTCAGCTTTAAAAAGAACTAAAGATGCAGCGTGTGGGATTTACAGAAGTCCTGCATTCATAATGTACATAATGCATTATTTATTATAAATAATTTATTTCAACACTAATGATTGTTGTTTTATTAACAGCTTGTCAGAGAAGAGCTCATTTTAAATTCTTTACATCCTGTTGAGTTGTAGTTTGGATCAGTGGTTCTCAAACTGGGGGTCGGGGCCCCCATGGGGGTCCCAAGATAATTTCAGGGGGGTCGCCAGATCATTGTCACAAAAAATTATTTTTAAAAAAGCCTACATTTATCAAATAAATTTGTATTAGGGATGTCAAAATTGAAAGTGTATACTTCCTCCCAGGCCTTTATTGAACTCGTTAATATTATGATTTGATTATGCGATATTATTATTATTCTTTTTTGCTCTTTTTAAAATGACTTTCTTTTGTTTTTAGATTCTTTTTCCCTTTCATTTGTTTGAAATAAATTTCATTCATTCATTCATTCATAAGTAAATTAATGTGTTAATGTAAAGAGATTAATCTGTGGAATTAACACATTAATTTTAACGCATTAATGCATAAACAACAAAATTATTACGCATGATATATTATAAATTCAAATCAGGGGGTCATGAGCACAAACTTCTGTTATCTTGGGGGTCATGGCTCAAAAGTTTTTGAACCACTGGTTTGGATTATGTCCTGTATGTAAAATTTTAACCTACCAAGCAGTTTGTAGCTCAAACTATTACACAAATGTATTAAAAAATTATTATATTTCCCCCCATAATGTAGAGTTCAATCATATAATACAATCCAGAGTTTAATATTGACACGTTTTTTTGCTCTGCCGGCTCTGAACTTCAGCACATTTCGGTTTGAAATAAAAGAATGAAAACTACATTAAAGTGCCAAGTCTGGGCTTTAATTTACGCAGGTTTATATCAATATTGAAAGAACTGTGCTGGAAATGCAGCCCCTTTGAATACATAGTGTCCAGAAAGGTTTAAAACTAATTGCACACTTGGCTGCATTCCATGTGCTGAAGTCTTAAAAAAAAAAAAAAAAAAGGCAGAGAGCTTCCAAGACAACAAGCTGGAGCCGAAGGTGTCTGCGGTAAAGGTTTGGGAGAGCATCAGCGGGGAAGGTGTAACATCTGCTGATGTCCATGACGGCGAAGGGTTTGAAGCTGAATGTTAAATATGATTTGGTTTGACTTAAAGTGTCTCTGAACCCCAAACCTTTGGCCTTGTCCACATGCGCACAAGCAAAACACAGCTTCTGTCTATGCGTTTTAACCTTGTGTCCACACTCAAATGCAATTTAAACTCACTGAATACTGAGCTTTTTGGGAAATGGAAGCTGTTTGTCATCTCCTTTTGTTTACATGACCAAAGCAGTGCCAGAGCAAACCTTGATAACGGGACTTTTATGCATGTTCAAACATAAATGCGAAGCCCCTCTTCCACTTTGTTAAGGAACAGAGGCGTCACAATCAGTCCTCCTCCTCCTTCCTCGATGTGCCATTGTTGGTAGCCTGGAACTGGTAATAGCTTTTTCTCAGGCTGCTTCTATTGGCCAACACAGCTTCAGGGTTTATTCAATTGTGTTTTAGCATTTTCATTTGGACAGAGATTTTGAGAACAAAGGAGGGGGGGAAAAAAAAAGTACCTGCGCTTGTGTGGATTAGGATTATGTGTTAAAAGGGCCGCATCTTCCACACAATTATCAATACCTGCTCAAATTAAAGCCGAGGCTCGGCGCTTTAATGTGCTATTCATTATTTTACATCAAACTGAACGTGATAATGCTTCGAGCGTGAAGAACAGGCCTGACTGTAGCATTGAATAGATAAAATGGAAATACACAAATACAGAAGATGTACTTAACTTTCCACCATTAAGTCTGCAGCCTCTTTCACAATCATTTTACATTACTTCTGGCAGCCCTTTAAAATATTTTCTCTTTACAATAACCGGAACTAAACGTGGACATAAATCTGACAATAAAACATTTCTTTAGATTCGTATCCATTCTTTGCATATATCATAAGTGGATATACACAAGGTGGATCGCTGGTTGGCACTGTTGCCTCGCACCAAGAAGGTCGCCGGTTTGCGTCCCAGTTAGGACGCCTGGGATCTTTTGTGGAGTTTGGAATGTTCTCCAGCTTCCTCCTACAAGGTCCAAAAACATGTTGAGGTTAATTGGTGATTCTAAATTGTCCGTAGGTGTGAATGTGAGTGTGCTTGGTTGTCTGTCTCTAAGTGTAGCCCTGTGATAGACTGGTGACCTGTCCAGGGTGTCCCCTGCCTTCACCCTGAGTCAGCTGGAATAGACTCCAGCCCCCCGTGACCCTAGTGAGGATTAAGCGGTGGATAGATAATGGATGGATGGATGGATATACACATTGCAAACAATAGTCTACTATAACATATTATTTTCTCTGCCTGAAACTGTTTATTTTTAGTGAAATCACTTCTTTTTTCTCTCTTTGTAATCATACATGAATACTGGCTGCATTCAAGAACTGCTCCAAGTATTCACAAGGCCACCATTACAGTTGTTTTATTTCCGTATCAGTGCAAAAAGGGAATGCTTTACAAATTTGAACATAAAAAAAAAGAAAACCATTTTATGAGTAAGAAAAATGTTTTGCATCGTCTGTGACAAGATGCATTTAATTCCGTGTGGGATGGGACCGTCGAAATCAGCGGCACAAAAACGGTCGCAGCTTCATGTCTTTCAGGGGAGCTTTAATAACTTCTCATGTTGTAATCTGTGGGGAAAGTAAAAAACACAACAGCGGCGTTTGGGTTAGTGACATTGAGGTTGTGGAAGTAGTTATTCAGAAGCAACAGAGCAACAAAACAATACCGTGCGACCTTCCGAGCCACCGGCGAGTCTAAAAATTCAATATCGCTGTTTTTTTTACTAAAGCAAAAAGCAATATGTGGCATCATGCAGACCTCCCACGAGAAGCATCTTATCACATGCTCTATCTGGAGCTGTTCCACAGAGAACAAAGTGATGAACTGGCAGGGACGGGTAATGTGACTAAGAGCACCCGAAGGACAAGGGCATATTTTCTGTGTATCCGTTTATTGTCCGCTGACAGACTTGACTCCGCAATCACAGACGCGGAGAGCAGATTTATGCCGAATCCTTCTAGAGTTTCTCACATTCGCAGACATTTACTGTATTTAAATGATTCCTTGAACTGACTGCAGTTCGGTGGCGTCAGTTTAGTCTTGCTGAGATACATTTCAACAACAGCGGTGCTAAAGAATGCTCAGATTCAGCGGGTTAAAGGGCTCCGCTGAGACATCAGAATTGCTCGTGGCAACTTGTTACTGACACAGGAGGCTGCACACAGTACGAAGCAGACGACCAGGGTGGAAACTAATTTCAGAAAATAGAAGAACAAGTGGACACAGAGTGTTTAACCGCTGACCTGAATCTATCCATCTATTGAACTGCACTGTAGCAACAAGACTGAACAAAACCGAGGTCTTAAAAACTCCTAAACAAAGACAAATGCGCGTATAGCACGTTCACCTTCTGAGAGAGGGGGCAACGTGAGTTTGATGCGCATCTTTTTCAGCCGATGAAGTTCATCACAACAAGATGCAGGACTGTGTGGGCAAACAGGAAGTCAGCGAAGGCTCTCTCTGGGGAGATGGACAGGAACTCTCCTTTGTTCTGTGGGTTGATCTGGATACGAAGACACACTACAAAAAGATCAAGAGGATTTAGTTTAAAGTTTGTTCTTCTTAGGTCCATAAATAAAACAAAGGCACGAGGACTGCAGCGAACCATCATTTTATCATAAAGCCAAAGCGACATTTATTTATAAAGCACATTTTTTTTAAAATGAGTCGAACCAAAGTGATGTACAGTTAAAAAGAAAATGCAATAAATAAAAGACAAAACTAAATAATACTGATAAAACACAGAGTAAAATAAAAATACAACACAGTATGAAGTCAGGGTGTGAGGCTCTAATTCAATTCAATTTTCAGCATTTAAACTGTTTACAATGTTTGCAGCTATTACTTTAACATTTTGTTTGTTTTTTACTCCACATCAGCACTTCTACAGAAAAAGTTCTGTTTCTAAAATGAAACCTAACACAATTAAAAACAAGAGAAATAAGACCTGTACCAAACAGTATCGCTGAAATGATTAGTCAAGCAATTGCTTAGCCAATAGAGAAAAAAGGATCATCAACTATGCTGTTAAATTCTATTTAAGTTACATCAATAGCTTTCTCTGGGGCCAGTTTCTTCATTGTAAGTGGTAAGGCTTGACTGATGTGTTTTTTTCAGGGCTTATACCCATTATTAGTAATCAATGACACCAAAGTGTGTATGTGTGTGCTGATTGGCTATTACTCCTGACATGTAACCAACCAGATAGAGCTGTGGGCGGGACATTACTCGAGAGCAGCGAACGACCTCCACAGACAGAGAGGTGGCTGCAGAGCCAAGAAAGTGCATTTTTAGACTAATTGATTTTATTGGAAAACAGTTCATCATCTTCATTTAAAAATGCTGAACATTGGATTCCATAACTGGCCAGTATAATAATCTGTTCATCCCTGGTGAAAAGTTGTCATAATTTGTATTTGTCACTGAGAACTGAATATGCTTAAACTTGGATCTTTGGATTGTCATAGTGCTGCAAGGTGGTGGTTAGCACCGTCACCTCACAGCTAGAAGATCCCCAGTTTGTGTCCCAGTTAGGACACCCGGGATCTTTCTGTGTGGATTTGGCATGTTCTCCCCGTGCAGCGTGGGTTCTCTCCGGGTTCTCCGGCTTCCTCCCACACAGTCCAAAAACATGTTGAGGTTAATTGGTGATTCTAAATTGTCCGTAGGTGTGAATGTGAGTGTGCTTGGTTGTCTGTCTCTAAGTGTAGCCCTGTGATAGACTGGTGACCTGTCCAGGTGTCCCCTGCCTTCACCCTGAGTCCAGCCCCCCGCGACCATAGTGTAGATTAAGCAGTGTATAGATAATGGATGAATGGATGGATGGATGGATGGATGGATATTTGACCATGTTAATAAACAATAATCCGTTAATTGCTGAAAAGAACAACATACCAGGGACATTTTTCCGTACGGGGACAAAACCATTTTTTCCACTGATACACACTGTTTGCACAAAATCTGCTGTCACCAAGCCCAGTTTGACGAATTTGAACAACCTTCAACCTAAGTCAGCTGGTGTATAACTATTGGATAAACAGATTGTTACAGTTCAATGCAATTAACATATCAAGCAACTCTCACACAATTTCATGTTTCATCATCTAACTATGTCAGCATAAGCTCTAAGTAACAACACTGTCCTCCACTGTGAGAATGACTCCTGACATTAAGTACAAATATATGTGCAATTAATAGTTTACGAGACACACTTGGCTATAACTGATGCACCTTAATGTAGGAGCCCTGTTATTAAGGCTGCATTTGAAGACTCTTTTAATTGCAGATTAACTGGCAGATTATTTCTTGATTAATCCATTAGTGTCTTGGTCAATAAAACGTCTGAAAATGTCAATCCATCACTTTCCTAAGGCTCAAAGGACATCCTCAAATGCGCTGTTTTGGTTACAACCCAAAGATTTCCAGTTTACGGTCATAGAGGAGTAAAGAAACCAGAAAATATTCAAGTTTATACAGATATACTCAGAGAATGTTGATGTTTATTAGCCAAAAAACACTCTGTGCCTAATAATGTATTATTTATTGCAGCTCTACCTGCAATAAATCCTGTATTCCTATGGATCACACTGTGCATTATTTGTTGGAAGCTGCAATTTGTGGTACTGTTGAGCTGTATTGTGCTACATAAGGCCAAGTTTATGTAAATGCAATACTTTAAGATTTAGCCTGATCAGAACTGCATGAGTTTTGTGTATAGTAGTTGTAGCTAGTTGTGAATAAATGTGCATCTGTGTACTTTTTAAGTTAAGTAGTGAGTGGGTGCACATTTTCAGAGTCAGAAAATACGTTTATTTTGCTTTAGCACGATTACACCTGAAGCTAGTGTTTGCTTTAGCATGCTAAGCTAACTTGTGTCTGCAGGCGCGCTCACTCACGGGCCACAAGTCCAGTGACTGACTAAAAAAAGCGACACCTGACCATTTTAATAACTCACCAGCTTTACATTTTAACATTTAACTGAATGAATAATTACCTGCGAGAATGAAGGAGCCCACACACGAGATGAAACCCGACAGAAAGCTATTGAATGGGAAGGTGCCGACGAGGAGACAGTAGAGGAACTGCAGCGCTCCTGTTAGCAAGATGTACAGCAAATACGCGTCCACCACCTTCAGCTTGTTGGGCGTCGTGGTGGTGTACTCCTCCAGGAACCGGGAGATGACAGATATGACTGAGTTCGACATGTTTTCTGCCGTTTAAAGTGTACTAAAAGCGACAGCTCTGCACGACTCCTCTTCCTCAGTCTAACAAGTGACGTGTCCTCATTAGCCGGAAGTGGACGTTGGTGTTGCAGAGAATTCGTTCCGAGTAGGTCGGAACGAAGAGCGAAGAGCAAGGAGAAGGGGTTGTTGGCGCCGCCCACCGGCGAACACAAAGGTGGTAAAAATGAGAAGATGATTGCCTCCATCGGTTTATGTATACAAAGCGTCTATACAGCAAAACAATACATATCTCAGAATGTGTAATGAAGAAATTTGCGGCGAAGTAAAACGCGGAAAACTAGCAAGAAATTTCTATTTTTGTTGACAGTGAAGATATACTCCTACTTTGCACTCAACTGATGATTTCCGGATCCAGATGACGCATCTTCAGAAGGAGAGGATCTTTGTATTTGCCCAGCTGACGTTGGAGTTACAAAACATTGGAAATTAGCATTCCTGCAGCCTAATGTACTTTCAAAGCAGACTCGCACGAACGTGTTGTCAACAGTGATTTACGTGATTGTTGTGACCGGATTATGCCAACCGATGGAACCGGCTACGACCACAGCTCCCATGCAGACCGACAGTCCGACTGAGTGAGTAACTTTGACAGCTGAATATCTGAAAACAAGCCGCCACGGGCTGCTTACATCACATGTTAGCTGAACTTTAAAATGCTGCTTGTGTTGACAAGACATTTATTGAGCTTTGTGCTGAATTTATCCAAGGATAGTGCTGTGTCATTGTCCCTGAATCCATTCTATGGCGTGTTTGGTGCTAAACGTAGATGTTATCAAACTACGTTTGGAAGAATAAAACCTGTTATTTGGGATTTTAGAAATGTAACCTCATACTAATGCACTACAAAATCCATTAACAGTCACCTGATGTGACAGGAGAAGGACAAATATGTAATAAAGTGCCTGTAAATATAGTCTACCCCTGACTTTATGTAACTTCCTGTATGTAAGTGTGGGGTTACATATCACACTGGGATGTAAGCAGCATCCATATGAGTTGGATTCTGTGTTTAATAGTAATTAAATGACTTTTTTTTTTGATCTGACACAGTTATTTTTTAACTGTCAGAAGAGAGGAGCATCAGTGAGTGACAGACCAATGACTCAGCAAAAACTGAGCCATCTAGTTAATTGGGGAACAGGTGAAAGGCCTCAGGGTGCACCTGGTGTGTTGATGGTGGAGGTAGACATATAGGAGCGACTGTTTCTACCTCAATTCACACTGGAATAGCTCAGTTTACCTTTGTATCACTGTAGAACCCACAGACTCTATAAAAAAAGATGGGCGTAGCTGATATCACCATAGAAAAGCCACCTGGTGCTTTGTTACGTAATGATGACTAAAGGGAGGCTGGAGTTCACCAGGATAACTATCAACCCTCGATGATGTGGGTCTTGGCTCTGAGTGTGATTTACAATATGCCTGCCCTGAAACATGATTCCTGAGCGTGTAGCCGTCACGTGTCCTCCATGCAAATAATGATAACATTGACTGCGCTGGCTTTAACCTTGGGTCCGCGCCAGAACGATTAGCTTGTGCATTCACCATTCGCTAAACATTTCCTCTGCTATCTACGAGCTGTTCATTCTTTACATGTCTTTCATTCCATTTCGCCTTTGTTAGGTCAAATTCAATCTGCAACTGGTGGCCGTCTTGGCGTCCAACCTCGATGTCCCTTTTGAAGACGACAGAGTCCAAGATTCTCGCTTGTAAGAATGTGTTTGTGTTCATGCTGGGTGGAAACTACTGTTGAATAAATGTGGCTGCTAAAGCTGCTCAACGTAACTCATCTGTGTCTGGTCATGACAGGTATTCAGAATGACCTATGGGCCAGGTTTGTGACCCTATCAAACCAGGACCGAATATGGACCCTGACTGTCACCAACAAGACAGTTCGCAAACCTGCAGAACAAGGTGTTGTGCTCCTTAACCTTCATCCTAGTCTTTGTTTGTTTATAGGGAGGCAACAGCTCTAATCCCACAAAGCTGTAAAGAATGTATTAATAATACTCACGACATAATTCCTCTTCCTGTTTTTCCTTCAGCACCTAAGACTCCTCTGGTGATGGTCCACGGCTTTGGAGGAGGGGTAGGACTGTGGATCAGGAACCTGGACGCCCTGAGCAGGTCGCGGCCCGTCTACGCCTTCGACCTGCTGGGGTTCGGCAGGAGCTCCAGGCCTGCTTTCCCCTCCGATGCTGCCAAGGCTGAGGAGCAGTTCGTCGACTCCATTGAGCAGTGGAGGCAGTCTGTAGGTCTGGAGAACATGATTCTGCTGGGACACAGTCTCGGAGGATACCTGGCCACGTCCTACGCGATCCAGTACCCTTCTAGGTAATAACGCTGGGGCGATGTGCGGAACGTGCTGCTGTGATTTGGTGTTGTGTTTGAGGATAAGGCACTTCAGTGGGTCTCATTCTATGGAAAATAACAAGGCAGGGAATTTATTTACATCAAAAACGCTGAATGTGTCGTGCTAGATAATGATTAGGCTCAACAATAGCAACATAATAAAGCTGTGATGTTTTTCAAGGAATGGTTTGACATTTTGGGAAATGCACTTGTTTGCTTTCTTGCTGAGAAATAGATAATAGAAATGCCTCTCTCACCTGTGTATGGCAAACTAATGCTAGCAGCCAGTTAGCTTAGCTTAGCTTAGCCCAGAGCCCCCTGTAAAACTATGACACAAACAAATATAGCGTGACATTTACTGAGTTTTTAATGTGCTAATAAGAGGATTGTGTTACTTTCGATCTCGATACTAAGCTAAATTAGCACTTAGTCTGAATTTGCCTCACAGGTATGGGAGTGGCATCATTATTATCATCTAGTCTCAACTGCCATCAAGAAAACAAAGAAGCATTTTTCCCAAACGTACTCCTTTGAATTAAACTGACTGACCGATATTTTTGTATTAGCAGTGAATCAGATTACCGTCTGTAACGTGAAAGGCGTGTTTCGTTGCGACGAATCGCTCAGCTCTGCAGTTTCCCTCAAGCTTTACAGCCTATTATTTTGGTTTAATGGCCCTGAAACTTTATTGTTTTGATTCAGCCTGACTTTGTTTTCGGCTCTCTGCAGGCAGCTGTTTGAGCTAACAAGCTGTCGCCTGATGGATACGCAAGAAGGCAAATGTTTCCAAGCATGTTTACTGTAGCAGCTTGTATTTACAGATTATTCTGTTTTCCCTGAAGGGGAAAAAAAATCGATTATTGTTGCTTTAAAGTTGCGTTTGTACTGAAAGATAGTAAAATGTGGATCTGATGGATGGATGGACTCCTTCAAAAGTGCATCCATGTTGTCTAATTGAGAGACATGGCAAACTCTGCAAGAGAAAATGTCTTTTAATCCTCTGAACCCCAAACAGTTTGTGAGTATTTTTTTTGCTTCTGTCCAGATTTTGATCACTGGGGGCAAATATAAAGTAATGCCCCTCTATGGAAACAGCACAGCTGCAGGTAGAACTAGAGACAGCTTATAAATGTCTTTTGTGCAGAATAACAAAGATGTCACTGAGCGTGAAAAAGAAAAAGCAAAAGTTGAATTTGAATAAATGTCCACACATTTACATGCTCTGTTTCTCACACGACTGTACACGTCAACTCTTGAATGATGTTTCACCAATGTAGCTTCCAATAACTTGCTGCTTTGTATGCCGTTGTTGAGCCATTCTGCATTTATTTTATCGGTCAAGTACATTTTATTTACCTCTAAATCTCTAATTTGTTTCCATTTATGTTGAATTGAATTGAATTGTGAATTTATTCAGTCGTCTTACAATACAAAAAATTCGAAGCAATTCATACAGTACGAACAAGATAGTGACTGAGAAGGCATAGGCGGAAGGAAAATGCTTATATATGCCTATCTTAAGCACTTGTCATTGTCAGCTACCCTCGCCAAAATGACAAATTCTGTGTTTTTTGACAGTATTTTGGTTGCAGCTGAGTCACTTATGGTTTCTCCAAGGAGCACAGAATTTAAAACAAACAAAACAAAACAGAATCTATAGTGCAAATGGTTCATTTGGGACATTTTTTTTTTTAATGAGCTGTTTAAATTATTACTTTCTTGATGAAATAAAACAACTTTTGGCTCAGCTTTAGTTAATTTTTCTGACGAAGCGACACATCACGTCATAATATATACAATATAAATATATGTTGTTTTTTCTTTATGTTGAAGCACTTTGTGAATTGTTTTATAAAAAGTGATATACAAATAAAGTTATGATTATTATTATTATTATAAGTTTAGGAACAGTCGGAAAGTTGAAAATCAGACGAATCTTTGTGCTTTTACGGTTTCTGCCTCTGAAAAATGGTGTACCCTGGGTGTTTAAAAACTAGCATGGTTTTCGATACCATCGTTGGGTTTTGGAGTTTTGATGGTTTTAAGCCACTTAGCCCCCCCTAGTGGAAGTGTGCAGAAAGACAGCAATGCACATCACCGTTCTCTGTGCTATCTTTTTGCAGAGTGTCGCACCTCATCTTGGTGGACCCCTGGGGTTTCCCTGAGCGACCCAAGAGCCAAACCCAGACCCAGGATGATGAAGGTCAGGCGAAGAGGCAGTCCCCTCCCCGCTGGGTCAAAGCTATTGCATCAGTTGTTTCCCTCTTCAACCCGCTGGCTGTCATCAGAGCAGCAGGTCCATGGGGTAAGGAGTGTACATAACTATTCACTGTAACGCTGTAGAACATGTAACGCTCCGCCCCCCCGCCTCACAGTGTGCCGTTGATTCAGGTCCGGGGCTGGTGAACAGATTCCGTCCTGATTTCAAGAGGAAATTCGAAGATCTTTTTGAAGATGACACCATGACGCAGTACATCTACCACTGTAATGCACAAACCCCGAGGTATGCCCCAAAAAAAAAATCCCAAAACACACAGAGTCACTTTCTTACAGCGACGTACTCACATAGCGCACTGCTCTGTTTCTGTTCCTCCTCCCAGTGGAGAGGTGGGTTTCAGGGCCATGGCCGAGTCCTTGGGCTGGGCCAAGAAGCCCATGCTGGAGCGTGTTAGTCAGCTGCCCCCCTCCATGCCCGTCACCATGCTGTATGGAGCGCAGTCCTGGGTGGACAGCTCATCTGGGGACAGAGTGGAACAGATCAGGGGCCAGGCCCACACCAGAGTGCTGGTGAGTGGACACACAGAACACCTCAATACAGAGTACAGGAAGCTTTTATTGCCAAGTGAGCTGCTACACACAAGGAGTTTGACATGATGAATGAAACTGTGGTACACAACAATAACAAGACAGGCAATAAATATAGAAATCTACATCTAAATAAAATATTATATGTAAAAGAAAAGCATAAAAGTACTTTGTAAATAAAAAGTAAAGTGAAAAAGAGACATAAACTTGCCTAAACCAGTTTAAATAACAATATTCCACATGAAATTGAGGAATAACAGCAGTAATATTTCATATGTTATTTAGTGTTGGGATGCCATTAAGAAAAATAATCTAATTACTTAGACGCTTTGTAATGAATTAATCTCAGCTAATCACATTGTTATCAAACAGCAACATTTGACACAATGAGCAAAGATTTTACATTCAAATAAACTTTGGTTGAATCAATGAACAGACATGTACGTGAACTTCAACAACAAAAATGTCTGTTTTTCATCAATATTTATCTGCATTTTTCTTCTATCTACGACATTCACAGATTAGTGTAAACTCAAAGTGCAACTATAGTTTTTATATTCAACGTGACTTTTTGTCTTAAAACTCTTTGTTGCATAATTTGCACACAACCACGCTCTTATCCAAGCTGCCATCGGTTAGTTTTTTTAAAACTAAAGAAAAAACAACTTTTCAATCTCGTCTTCCATCACTGTTCACTAAACTTTCTTATGCGCTGACGTTTTCTTCGCGGCTGGTAAATGAACTTTAAGTGCATTACCGCCACCTACAGGGCTGGAGTGTGTGCATCAGTGTTACTTAATTATTGGGGAACTGGGAAAGATGCGATTAAATTATTTTTTAACGCATTATTTTTTCTCTAATTAATTATTCGAAATTAACGCGTTCAAATTCAGCCCTAGTATTATTGTTACCAACTATCCCAGCACAGTGTTTCTATGTGACTACCTCTTTCCTAACAAGGTTATTGTGAATTAAAACAGATCTTGATAAAGAAATCACAAACAAGTAAAATATATATTTCTGATATAAACACAGAACCACAATTAGCACATGAAATAATTTGAAGCACTATGAGTTGGAAAAGTGTGACTTTTCTTTTAGCACAGTAACGGTATGATACAAATCCTCCAGTTGGGACACTGTTGGAGTGGTTTCACCCATCGTACCTGCTCNACACATGTTCAGATATTGGCCATAAATGCAAAAAAAAACCCATAATTTCCATCATTTGTTTTCTTATGAATTATGCCCCTGACTGGCACCAAACTCTGAATTTTTAAATCTCATATTGGTGCCAATCACAGGGGGAAAATCAGCCTCTTAAATTGAAAAGTAAAAGTTTAATGGTTGGTGGAATATGGGAAATTTGCAGCATCATATAACTGGTTTGGGGCTGCAAGGTGGCTCAGTGGTTAGCACTGTTGCCTCGCAGCAAGAAGGTTTGCATCCCAATGAGGACACCTGAGATCTTTCTGTGTGGAGTCTTCATGTTCTCCCCGTGCAGCGTGGGTTCTCTCTGAGTTCTCCGTCTTCCTCCCACACAGTCCCAAAACATGTTGAGGTTAATTGGTGATTCTAAATGGTCCGTAGGTGTGAATGTGAGTGTGCTTGGTTGTCTGTCTCTAAGTGTAGCCCTGTGATAGACTGGTGACCTGTCCAGGTGTCCCCTGCCTTCATTCTGAGTCAGCTGGGATAGACTCCAGCCCCCCATGACCCTAGTGAGGATTAAGCGGTGTACAGCTAATAGATGGATATAACTGGTTTGTAGAATTCTATCACAGCAGAGTCATACCATTGAAGATCATATGTACACATTCATGAGGCTGCAAAGTTTGAGGATTCCAGCAACATGACTTCTCAAGTTCTGGCACTTCAAACATTGCTCCACAGATTTAAACTATGCAAAACTTGACATGAACTCAAAACCGTACCTATGACCCCAGATTTTACACATGGTCAGCTCAATCCATATTCAACACTTTAAAAAGAAACCTGTCAACCTGAAGACGGCCAGGCGTGCGGCGTTCGGTGAATTAAGGCGGGAGCTGTGATCCAAGTCTAAAATGTGCAGTCCAGCTTTGAATTAGTGTCATTTTATTAAAACCTCATTTAACTGAGGCTGTATGTTAACATTGACTGTCTTTATTTCCTCATCTGTTCCTCTCTGCAGCTGATAAACGAAGCCTCCCACCACGTTTACGCCGATCAGCCAGAAGAATTCAACAGAGTGGTCAATAAAATATGTAAAACCGTTAACTGACCGCGATCGCGTGGGAGTCTCCAGGGACTGAATTGTACATATCGACTCTTCATCGCGGCGGTTTTGGCGCTGCGACCTTTGCATGTGAAGCACGCTGGACGACGGGCGGGTCAAGATACCATGAATGTTATCACGTTCAGAATCGTATCTCGTATAATTTCTGTGTATTTAGTATTGAGAGTAAATTTATTTATACACACGATCGCGTTCATTTGTTGATAAATGTCCACACGGAGCAATAACCACTCAATCCAGTGCTGAATCATGTTGCATTGTTGTATATTTTTAAGCACAAGGTGTCACGTACATCTCTGTGATTGCACTGGGTTTGTTTATTACGGAGCTACTGAATCATACTTAAACATGTGCCTGACATTATGTTCTTTGATCCCGGGTGTTTTTTTCCCCCCCACTGTATCAAACAGCTGTCTGTATTTTATACCTTGAAGCCAATTATTAAAAGATATTTGTCAAAGTAGCCATGCGTGATGCACTTTGTGGCCCGGCCAGTAGAGGTCAGTAACGAGTGACGTTTCTGTTGGGTTCTGCTTGTTGGTGGTTGGTGGAGGGTGGAAGTAAATGCAAAGTTAGCAGCAAAATGTACTGGTAGTGTCACAGGTAAAACACACTCAGAAGATTTGAAATTTACCAGTTTTTCTATGTTTGAATCATAGTTTAATCTAACAAAGTTCGAATGGATTAAAAACGATATTTGGCGCTTAAGAGAAAACACAAAAGTTCGGCTGTTTAATATCATAAATAAACTTCCTCAGCTGAATACATGCAATAAGACAATCGTGTTTTTCTGTATCACAAGAAATGTTATGTGTAAATATGCAAACGAGGTATTATGTTTCATGTCAAATGCCCTCATTTGCATATTTTTTCATTTTCCGACAGTGTCAAAGGTTTTTGCAGACGGGATTTTGGATATGTCTATTTTATTTCCCCGTGATTCAGAAAATACTGTTTGCAGCCAGGAAAAAAAAAAAAAAAAAAAAAAGCAATTTCTGCCATGTTTTTAGGAATATAAATCAGACTGAATAATATATGAACAAACCCATCTGTAAAAAGCTTCAGAATACAGATAGAAGTGAAACTGGAGCGTTTGGTGCCTCTGTAGTGGAGATTTCTGGCTCCGAGTGGGAGTGAAAAACGCATTCTGACAAAACTGTGTTTAAAGATATGTGTTGTGTTTTTGCATTTACAGATACACGTGGAGGAGGTGTCGCAAGATAAACAACTAAATGTGTGTTTTGGACTTTTTTTTTTTCCTCCAACTAGTCTGAAAAAGGATGCATTATGGAAGATAATTAATCAGTGCATTAAAAAATGATGCATTTGCAGAGTGTTAATTATATGAAAACTGTACCTAAATACACAACTTCAGTGGGTAAGCTTACAGTGGTGGTAACCCTAGCCCTATTGAAAGAACAAATAAAAGAATCACTGATCATTTATTATTTAAAGACAATGATCTGATATTCTTTATCTCTGAGTGTCAGAACCACGTGGACCTGTCGGATTAGCAGCTGACTCGGAGGTGAAATCAGAGTCACGTGTTTTCAATCAATTGATGACAATCAGGTGTAAGTGGGAGCCTGGTTTTATTTACAGAACACGGATCGATCAAATGAGTGGTCGGCCAGCAAAGGTCGCTACAAGAGCAGAGTAGTGGAAGAACCCTCAGGGGCGTAAAGGAACCCAGAGGGATGATGATGATGATGATGAGTCCAGCTTGTCCAGGAGAACACCGAACAACAACGAGAAAGCCACTGCTCTCACATGGATCACATGGACACAACAGGTGTTTTTGTGGAATAACAGGAACAATATAGAACTTTTTTGGTTTAAATAAGAAGCAATAAAGGACAATACTGCCTTCCAGCTTAAGAACTTTATCACATCTGTGAATTGGGAGGCAGTAATGCCAGAGTTTGGGCTTGTTTTGCAATCATGAACGAAACAAGGAATTCTTTCAGGACTTCTATCTGCAAACTGGATCACAAGAGAAAGTGGATCATGCAGTAAGAGTCCAACAAAGGATGATTGAAGGAGAGTAAAGTTAATGTTTTTAAGCGGGTAATGACAATTAGTTCAGCAGAAATGTCGTGCAAAGGCCTAACTTGAGTCGTTCATGGGAAGCTTTCACATGTTTTTGTCACTCACTGATGAGTAATGTTGGATCATTTTGCCCAATAAATAAAGCATCAAGTATAATAAAAAAAAGGTTCTCGCTATCTACATTTACAACTTGTGTGAAAATGTACTGTTGCTTTAGGTTCAATCTATGCAGAAATATAGAAAATACTAAATGGTTGGCAAACTTTCAAGAAGTCTTGTCATCACATTCCACCATTTATGGCTCTGCTCCAGCCTCAGGATATCATGTCTCCCAGTTATTTAGTTTTATATCTCCCTGTCAGTGCTGGAGGGAGTATTTAGATCTATTAAACGAGAAAAAAAAAAAAAGAGATCTGACATGAGGAATAAAAAAGAAGAAGAAACATAAGCTGCAGAAATAACTTAAAGCATTAAACCGTGTCCTCCTTAGGCAAAAGACGTCTGAAGGAAACTGAGGGATGACATTCTCCTTCAAGCATTAAGAAGCATTTATTGACCTTAAAACCTTCAAATGTACCTTTTGGATTATCTGATAAGTGCGCTGTCACAAACGCCAGACAAGCTGACATTTAGGAAACACGTTTGTGTTCTTAGGACAGCGAGGAATACATTACTTCATTATTGATTATCTGCTCCTTTATGAACTCGTCACAGATTCTGTTTTATGCGACTGGAGTTGTTCAATCAGTGCAGTGAAGAGCGCCGTACGTCCGCATAAAATTTTCGCAATATCACAGCCGCTGCTTCTGCACAGTCAGCTTTACGTTCCTGTAAAGACATCAGTCATCCTGAACGATGCGACGCAGCGAAGGCGCCTCAGCTGCCTCGACTTGCACACCTGAAATTAGTCACTATTAAATAAGCCGCCTGCGATTCCCACACGTTTTTGTCAATGTGCAGTAAAAATGGTTAGACTGCACACACATGTGGAAAGTTACACGTTAAAGCTCTGATGACAGAACTTCATCCTCCCTCACCTCCAACCAGTAACGGCTTGTCTAATCACCCAGCGGAGTGGAAAGTGACTCAGGAGCCGTCGCTTCAGTGTGAGTTTTATTACAGACGCAACACGGACGATACAAAAAAAAAATATTACAGGTTGATAAATAGTATAATGACATAGTTTCCTTCACATTGAGTGCTGAAGTTAAACAGACTAGAACCAGATAAATCTAACATGTATTAAGGCCACTGTGTTCTCTGATATGTCGCTTCACTGCAATGTACTGTAGAGTCCAAGCATACACGCACGAAGGTGACACACATACAAAAAAGTCAAGAGCAACATTTTTGCAGTTTGCAAATGTGGATTTCAGCTTTTCGAGTGGTTGCTTTTCAAAATAAAAGAGGCATCTTATCTAAAATAACCTTTTAGTCGTGTCCTTGCAGGGTGAATTGTTAGTATTTGGCAAATTTCCAAGAATAATTTGCAAGTTTTTAGTCAAATGTAATAGAAAAAAAATCTAATTATAACATTCTAACGTTTTTTTTCCTTTCAAAATATCAATACCAATGTTAACACCCTTTCCTTTCCAAACATTTCACAGTACCCTCCCTTCATTTAAGCCACGTGAGGTTCATTTTGTCTGACAATACTTTTCACATTATGACAAGCTATATGAACAATACACATACAGTATTTACATTATCCAAAACTTTCTGCAAATTCACGTGCATTGTTCAGTGTCTCCAAATGCACTGTAGTGTTCGGGCAGCATGTGAAGCCCCTTAGTCTGCTGTGCATGTGTTCAAATCCTGCTGCATGCTTCACCACAGCGAGGCAGAAGTGTGGATTTATATCACTTAAAGTTCAAAAATAATAATAATAACACTGGTAATGCTACAGTTGTAAATTGTCTATTCATAGTTTTAGAATATCAAAAATTCAATTTTCGCCTGCAGTAGAAAGTAAACAAGTCAGTTTAGGATACAGGAATTTAGCACACTTCATATAATTAGAGGCTCTCTGTTTACATTTTATAAGGAAAAAAAAAAATGGAAGAGGCTGAACCTTGTGGTCCCCTCTCATTGTTCGAGAACAACAATGTCAGCCACCCCGTGCACTTGTGTGAGCTGTTTACAGTCGAGAGACGCCACCAGCTTCCTGGGCCCGGGTTGGGATGGGATGAAGTGCTCCGTCAGTGTCACCGTGGAGTGACCGCCAACATCACTGAGGGAGGCAGGGAAGAGTGAAATGTTAGCCCGGAGAAGAACATGTGGGAGGATGAGATAAAGAGGCAGAAAAGGAGGAGGAAGTGTTCTTACCCTACGACCACTTCATGGCCCTTCTGGAGGCCCAGGCCCTCCACTCGGAACACCACTCCTTTCAGCGTACGTGGCAGCGGGTTGGTGAAGGTTATCTTGGCGGCCATCTCCTTACCAACAATGGCGTCTCCCAGAGGCTGCCAGAAAAAATAGCAAACAGAACTGAATTTTACGCTGCAGAATTTATGCTGTTCTGGCAAAGAAATGCACGTCGTACTACACAAACAAACGTTAAATGCTAATTGAAATCCCACCGTGATGTTGAGGTCTGGTGTCCGGAGCCTGAAGGTTGTCTGGTTGGCCAACACTTGCTGGGTCTCAGAGACTCTTCCAGACAGAGTCAGCATCAGGGCTGCCTGATCCACCAGCTGGTTCTGGTACTGCTGGTAGGGCAGAACCCACTCAATGGTCTTTTCTGTGTGAAGAATAAAGAGATGCGCCGGGTGTTAATTTTATTATACAAAGCTTTACTTCTAAGTTTTGATAAAAGAAATGCTTCGACATTCTGGGAAAAACACTTTTTTAGTCTCGTTAGATGCAAAGTTCTACACCAGTGTGTAGGGTAGATGGTAGCTGGTTAGCTTAGCTTAGCTTAGCTTAGCTTAGCATAAGCCTGAAAACAACAGAAAACAGCTAGCCTGGGTATACCTTAACCTACAAAAGGATTGTGCATTAGTAAAGCTCCCTTATCTGTTTCTGTGATTTAGAACAGTATAAATTATTTTTGTATCCATTGCAAATTAAATATTGAAGTCTTGAGCAGTAACATGCTAGGTTCAACATTCTCAAGAGCTGCACCAACTTTTTTTCCATCCAATATGGCCGATAGTTTATGTTGGCTAGTGTTAGCTAATGTTTAACAAACTTAAGATGAGACTGCTGCTTAATTAATTGATTTCCTAAACCAAACCCATTAAGACCAGATGCAGCAAGAACAGGTGAAACGTTTGCATACTTTTCCCTTTACAGTCGGATGCAACGTGATGCACTTCATCAGTCACGTGCCTGGAAAACGATGACCTCATATAAAATACCTTCATATCTCATCTATCAGTAAAAGGAAACGCGCCCAGACGTCACACCCGCACTTAAAGTCTTAATGTGTTACGATGACATCACATGTTAGCATTTAGCATTATCCTGTGATTGTGTAATGTTGTTGTCACTCTGGAGCAGAAATAAGCTGTTAACGACACGCTGACACATTGTCACTTGGTAGTTGTAAGATAAACGTCTGGCTCTGTAGATGCTAAATGCGTCTCTGTGTTCACCTGCTACTTGCTAACTTTGTACATCTGCTGAGAAGGAGCATACAGTGAATCTCTAACAATTACAGTGAATCCAAACAAAGCTGTGGTCTGCAAACCAAAACAAAGGGGGTAAAAGATGGTAGAACTTAATGGAGAAGCAAAGCTGGGTGATCATTTTCCATGTCACTTTGTCACTCGGCAGTTTCTGTCACACCCTTCATCCATCCATCCATCCATCCATTATCTATACACCGCTTAATCCTCAGTAGGGTCGCGGGGGGCTGGAGCCTATCCCAATTAACCTCAACATGCTTTTGGACTGTGTGGGAGGAAGCCGGAGAACCCGGAGAGAACCCACGCTGCTCGGGGAGAACATGCAAACTCCACGCAGAAAGATCTCGGGCGTCCTAACTGGTGACCTTCTAGCTGCAAGGCGACCTTGCTGCCCCACCCTTAATCCATTGCTCTTAAAAAATACATATGATAGAAATTCCAACCTTCATTGGGCAGAAGCTCCACAGGCATCTGCTCCTTCTTGATGGCGTTCCTCAGCACACCCGTGTAGTACATGACGGCCACCTGGCTGTGCAGAGTTGTCCGACGGGGCTCCGAGCTCAGGTTCTTCACCACAATGCTCAGCTGGGCATCAGCGCCCATCCTGGGCCCCTCGCCGTCCATCTTCACCTCCACAGACACATCCTCTGCCATGGGGGCGGAGTAGACTTCTGGCTTGCTGCCGTGGCGGCTAGCGGTCACGACAGCGATGCGTTCCTCCTCCGAACCTGGTAGGGAAGCGGGAGGAGAAGGTGAGTGCACCTCATTCTTGTCTGAGAATTCAGGATTTATTGAGAGATACTGGAGATATGGTTCATGGTGCGTCCAAATAAAGCAAACAGAGAGGCATGTTTTAATGTTGAGAAGAACAGCGAGAGACATAATCATTACTCCTCAAGATTGTTCCAGGTAGTGTAGACATAATTCAGTCTGATCCGACTTGCGATTAGTCAAGTAAACGAAGCTATGCAGTACCTTCTTCGTGTTTGTACAGGTGTGTGATGTCTGCTCGCTCATCAGAGCCCACTGCTTTGGTGCTGATGAAGTGGCCGACAGCTTTCTTCTCGCTGTGGATCTGACTGAATGTACCGTCCAGGTTCCTCTGCCAGTAGACCTTATCACTGTTGACCTGACAGGGAAATACCAATAAACACGATCAGCTGAAACATCGGAGCGTATGAGAGGTTTGCTTCTCATATGATGATGATGAAATGAAGAATGTCTCACACTTATTTATTTTTGTGCAGCTGGAAAGCTATTAAGTTTTACTCATAATATTTGGTTCTTGGTCTACAGAATCAAGGACTCAAGAAAATCATTCCTAATTGATGAAGCAGTTGAAAGTATGTTATAAATATACGCCTGATTTAGTCATTTCAGCTCCAAAGAACATCTTTGTAAACCTTGAATATCTGCAATTTAGTCTCAAACAAAAATCTCAAGTCTGCAAACGTTGGCTAATTTCTGGCACTCACCTCGGCAAAAACAAAAGGTGTGTCATGTTTGAGGTAGACCTGGCCGGAGCGGATGGCGTTGAGAGAGGCGGGGCCACAGCGGAAGGTGCCCTGGCTGGTCTCCTGGGGAGTGGAGTCAACAGCCTGCCAGCCTCCGTTGCCAGGAGGCAGGTCTGGTCTGGCCATCCAGCAGTCGTTCCACACGTGGAAATTCCTGAAGGTAGAAAAAGTGTTGACATATTTCAGTTTGAAGACTCACTTTCTTATATGCAAATAGTTAGCTGAGAGGATTGATACCACTCTTGTGTCTGTCCTGTCGATATACAATTGCAGCCTGTTAGTTAGCTTAGCTTAGCATAAAGCCTGAAAACGTTGACACAGCTAGTTTGACTCAGTCCCTATTTTTAAACTTCAATTTAGTACAAGATATAGTCTGTTCATTGGAACATTTTAGAGGTGCTTGTGGATGGATTTTGTAAACTCTGAACAGATCTAATCTTTGGTCTTTATGCTAAGCTAAGCTAAGCATCTTGAGATCAGAGTGGTTTTATTCCTCTTAAATTAAGGGATAATTTCATTGCTTTTACATAATAAATAACCTTCAATAAAATAAAAGTAAACTATACATGATCTTGTGCAAACTTAAGGCTAGAAACTGCAATTTAATAATGAAAAATTATTGAAATTTGTTATGAGTACAGTGTTTTTTTTCATCCATAGTATTACCATTTTTTTTTATTTATATATTTTTTTACAGTGCACCTTAATTTCAGACTTGTGTTAAATGAAAACGGTAATTTCATAAACATGTGCAAAGTGCTTGTGGAGCAAGCAAGGGAAAATGTGGCAAATGTCAACACAAGGATTGGTTTGGATGTGGAGAGTTTTCAGTTTTAACAGGACTTTTTGATAGCGATGAGGATGGCCAACGTTGCTAACTTTGCAACAAGTGCCTGCCTTGCAGTTACGAAGGAAAGGTATAAAAATGACAGGAATGAAAGATGGCATCCAGAATAACCAAGGGCATGTAAGGTCATCGGTTCCACCACACAGACGATAGATACCAGATCAGCCTCCGCAGTTTTAGCGGCGCTGCAGATAATTGAAAGTCCATGACACCTCTGGGGTTTCAACTTAGAGGCGACTACATTTGGAGCAGATCTAAATATATGGCGCATTCCGATGGTATAGATTTAGCAGCAGGCGATTTTGAAAGCCTCAGTCATGTAAAAGCTCCACATCTTACCACACAGAGTCACTATTGAGGTAGTCGATCGGCTCCATATCGGCATCAAAATACACATCTGTAGTGAGGGAAACGTCGGTGTCGTGAGCAGACTGGAAGTTGGTCACACTGCGGGCGGGTATGCCGAGACACCGTAGCACTGAGAACAGAGACGGACAGACAAAGATGAGTTAAAACTGAAAGCCATTTAACGACCGACATGAATTGAATCTGCAGATGGTGATACTTCAGACATTTCTGCCGGGGGGTGACATTTGCCTGGAACTTTATTATTCCGGCTGAATGAAAGCGACACATGTGGTTCTATCTGCGACAAAAGTAGGAGGTATGACAGGAATGCCAATGCGAGGTATTTAGGGTTTATGGGAGCTACGGCTCGCTACCATTGGCAACACTACGCGCTAAGGTCAGCTAGCTATCATGTGAGGTTCCTCGCATGCATGCACAATGAATGAAGTGTTCTGTTACACAGTTCTACTGAGGGCTAATGAAAAGGGCCTGAGAGACAGAAAGCCAAGACAGCAAACATTTGTGAACTGTTAACTGAACTGACATGAACATTGGAGTAAACACAACACTCTTGCATTTTCATTGCACACACACACACACACACACACACACACACATCCAATACACATGACAACAAACATCCATCTTCCCGCCCTCCACTAAGGTTGACCCTCTCACCATAAACACACCCTTCTCTTTCGCTCACACCATCAAACGTTTTATTTTTCTCACCTGTTGTGGTGACCCCGGAGAAGACCCAGCACTGCCCGTACGACACAGGCGTCCCGTTGGAGGCGTGGTATTTCCTCAGGATCTCCACGCTGCTGCTCCACGCCGAAGGAGAGATTCCATCCGCGTAATCTCCGGACCAGTTCCCGACCAGAACGCCAAAGTCGTCCTGAGCGTTTATCTGAGAAGAGCACAGTCATTAAATTAGTATAATGATCTGGAAAATTGGGAGATCAGTCAATGAAATAAATGAAATAAAAGCACTTTCACTCATAACGGCGTGTTTTTCTAAATTGGAAGTCTTAAGCTCACCATAGCAGATATGACTCGGACCACATTCACAGGATCTGCTTGACCGGAAGGCGGCATGTCACTCTTCTCCAGGATAAACAGACATGCTTCCAGGATGTTCTCATGGAACTACGATGAAGAAAGACATGATCTTATGACAATGCTGTCCGATTCAAAGGCGTGTCTTACCAACAGAATAAGTTAAGTACTAATTTGAAAGGTAGAAGAAAAAATGTGACAACTTCGCTGTGCTCCATGAGAATGTAGTAACACCTGAATTATAGCACATAACGCTTGCAAAGGAGGGATTTAGTGTGAGAAAGTTAGACCTGACGGCATGAATAAAGTGTGGTGGAGTTTTATTATCAGTGGTTACCATTATCTAATCTGTTTGCAGCAAAATAGGACATTGAGCTTCACAGTTAAAGCATGTTTCTAGGAATACGCTGCTTATTTTTAGTCTCATCATTAACTTGATTCTACTCATAAGTCTTCCTCAAGCCTGTTATATTTATGTGTTAAACAACAAGAGCCCCATTGTCTCCTGAGAAACCAGTAAAAACACACACTGGAACCAGAGCTTTTCCTGCATAGGGGAATTTCTGGCACCACCCAAAGAGGTTTAGCCAGCACCAGTGGAAAATCACCAAAATATGAATTGAGCATTATGAAAATTGTAATTTGTTAATTGGGGTTTCATGCATGCAGGCATATCTTGATCAGAAATAACAGAGAAATGCACAGGTTTCAGCCAAATAAGGCACCAAACCCATTGTCTTTACTGTTTGTGAACACATTCTGTTTACTGTCATGTGTTATCATCCCCCAAAGGGCCATTCTGAGCCAGGAAAAACCCTGGGAACTGTTCTTTTCTTGTGTCAGTCCCACACACACACCATCCTGCTGCTGGAAGCCCTCACTGGTCCATGACTGGAAATAGTGCCAAACTGTTTGAGTAACATTAACTAGTGTGGCCACTGTTCTTGGTTTTAAAAATCTAATAAAAGTACAGTATTTAGGAACCAGATTTAGGGATTTCCGTCTTCAGGTGGAGCAAACGGGCTGAGCTCCAAAGTCTTAAGATGCTGTAATGATCATTCACAAACACGAGCGCTTTCCAGTCACATCTTGTCTTTTTAGTCCGTACCTGCCCAAAGTTCCAAGTTCGGGCGCCGATTTGTTTCTCCGTGCCGTAGTAAATCCTCCCGGTGTCATTCAGCACATACTCCTTCCTCTCCTCCTCGTCATCCAGGAACACCGTGTCCTCTGGAAAAAAAGAAAAAAACACATGAAACTAATTATATCTGCACACCTTTGCCGGGCGTTACACAATAAAGCTTTAGAAGTGCAGGTTTTCACCCTGTGTTTTATACGCTTTGACTTCTTTTTTACATATTCTCCCAAGTTCAGTCCAATTAAACCAACCTTGACAGGGAACGCAAGGAGACCTTCCTCCCTACAACCGCGAGATTTCTGTTAATAAAACAGACTTGTGAAGATTTCGACTTCCTTCCTGTCCGTGAAAATGACCTTGAATCTCTGTTTTATTCAACTGTTCAAGAATGTGATTTCTCTTCACATATTCTGTGAATGACTCCCAAAGGCCAGGAAATGGTTAAGAAACACAATGACTGCATGGACCTTGCAGTGGGGCCCACACTCATTTATGGGAAACAGTCTGTTTTTGAGTGACATCAGCACCACACACTTGGGCGTGCACCCCTCACATGAGCTTTGCAAATCCGCATATATCTTTTTTTTTTTCCATTCCTCTTATCTGTCGCTGTTGCCATCGTGATTACCGGTGGGTGGAGAAAAAGGGACGGAGAGAAAGAAAGAGAAAGAAAAAAAAAATGGGAAAAAATATTCACGATGGACATGAGAAAAAAAAAAAAAAGTGGAAGGAAAAGGTTTCAGCACAGTCCTGGGGGGACAACTGAGAGAAAGAAGGGAAGTTATGCTTGGGAGGGGAAAGAAGCAGGGAGGGAGAAACATAACAGTGTCTTGATTTTATAAGGAGAACGCAGAGGGAGATGAAGCTGAAAGTATCTGGCAGCTGTGATAATTGTAGTTTTCACTTCTTACTGAAAATTTCTGGAATGTGGGAAGAAGCAGACACACACAGGAGGATATGAAGGAGGAGGCCAGAGAGGAGAGCGATGGAGTGAGGCTCGGGTCAGCAGATAGCAAAAAGCAAAACAACGAGAAAAAAAAAGAGCAAAAGCTGGGTGGGAGAGGCAAAAAAAAAAAAAAAAACCCAGCAGGAAATACAGACGGAGGCAGTAAAAGCGAGGGGAGAGGACAGGTTGTCACCAGCTGCAAGGATTACGCTGAAGTCGCCCCGTGGCGTTTTATACAGTAATTGTAGGATTTTGACTTTTATGAGCATGAGGGAGAGATTGGTCTCGGGAAAGAAGAGATTGAAAGAGGGAAAAGGAGATTGGGCGCTCCGCCAAAAGCAGCAACCCCATAATGAAAGACAGACAGTCCTCCTTATCAAATCCCGGCCCGCTGTTTTTTTGTTTTTTTTTATTTGGCGGCGTTGCAAATACGCTTCTTTTTGTCAAATATCCTGTGTGGAAAATTTGCAAAAACTCAGGTGAATAAACAATGAAGCTCATTTCCTAATGCTTTTCTTGACCGAATAGAAGAATAATAAGCATGCATAGTAGAAAAAAAACAGTTTACTTTACAAATAAATAAGAAATAAGACCACCACGCTTTTTAAATTACTTGTGAGCGCAGTTTCAAACACGAGGAGCTTCCGTGTGTTGGTTGTAAAAGCTGCTTTAGCCAATATTATGAAATTGCATTAACGGATCCAATGACTAAGTGTGTGTGAATGGTGCCAATCCCCTGCAATTCCTCTCTGCTCTACAGACTGCTTTAGCCTCTTTTCGCTGCTTATTTTGGGTTTCACGGTTCGCCCCTTTACTGTTTTGGTTACCTGCTCTCATCAGCTTGTTGCTGTTAAAGGTGGAAAGCTGGTGAGTGCAGTGCAGCAGTTAAAGGTCTCAGAAAGATATTTTATAGATATTTACATTCATATGTCAGCAACAGTTATTTTCACTGAGAATTTTCTCGATTTGTTGTTTGATCTTTAAAATGTCAGGAAAAACTGTCCATCAGTGTTTCCCACAGCTCAAGATGACGCCTAACATGTCTTGTTATGTCCACAACTCGAAGACATTCAGTTTATAGAGAAGTGAATAAACAAGAAGACATTCCAATGTAGGGAGCTGGAACCAGAGAAGTTGGATTAATTAGCAAAATAGAAGGCAATTAATACAGAGGTTGACAACTAATCGATTATTCGCTGCAATTCTAATGACCGGACTGTCAGAATTCCTCTCTTGGACGACAAGTTAGTGGATTTCACAAACATAAATCCTGTTCCCCAGCTGACTCTGAAATAAGAGCCACGTTACCATGGTAACCAATGGCACCACGAGGATAACTCTAAATTAGTGGTTTTCTAGCAGCAATGTGGAGCGCATAATGTAGAAGCTGTCGGAGCACTGGTAAATGTTTTTATTTGCCCGGAGAAACTTAGTCTGCCTAATGAGTTAGCAAAAAGATCCGCCGTAATGCGCTGTGCTGAGAGTCTACGCGGATCAAAACTTTTTCAGCGCTTACAATCTTCATCTGTCCTCTGTCAGAGATAAAAAGGCACTTCAAAGCTTTCCAGGCAAACGTTTCCTGCAGGACTGAGGGGTTAAGCAGTGCAGTTTGTTCGTCTTTTTCGACACTGAATTCATGACAAATTAGTCGCAACAGTCAAGCACTAATTTGGCTGAACTCCGACGTCTGCGTGTTTCTCTACACGTCCAGAACTAAAAGGAAGAGTGAACGCCGGACTCGGGATTTGACAAGTCGCCAGCAACCCGTCTCCAAACAAATGTTTATTTTGCTCTGCCGGGTGTCTAATAGACAATAGTCTGCTCAGGCATTAGTCACTTCAGGAGCTGGCACACTATGATTAGGACAATGACATCATTAAGAGGATTGTACGGCACAAGGCGATGACTGACAGCGCTGTTAGAACGGCTGCATGATGGTGGTGTTTGCGCGGCAGAAAAGCAAACAGCAAGTATGTAATTTTCAAAAAACAATTAACTCCAGAAATGCTGCACAAACTAATGTATTTCAGCTGAGGCTTTAAAAAATCACAGACATGGCCGGGACACACGTGTTGCTGCCATGGTGATTTCTTTTTATTTTTTAAGCTGCTGAAGTTGACTCTTCATCAGCGGTGTTAGAAAAACAGCTTTTGTGTGAGTGTTCTGTTTGTTTGATTAAATGTTCTGACACGATTCATACGGTATCATTGCAAAATAATCTCTTGTTATGCCAAATTAAACCATGCTTGCCTGGATTTTATTTTTTATTTTTTTAAATGGATAGAGCTGTTGTGCTTCACAAGTTGCCTTGGCAACAACAAACACGTCCCGGCAATGTTCATCTCATTGTACCGCCCCTGGACAGATTTCTTTTGAAGTCAGTGCTGCTTGCAGAGCGTCTGTATTTGGTGACGTCTTCTGTGTTTGCATGTGCTCTGCAGCTTTCTGTATTTGCAGCTTTTCTTCCTCTAATTGCTGTTTTTACGTTGTGTCGACGTTTTCTTGAATCGCTTGTCCGCGTTTGTTTTCTCAAGCGGTGCAAGAAAGGTTACAAATCATATCTGTGTGTAGAAAAATTTCATAAAAAAAAGCAGCTGCAGGTCGTTTTCATCCTATACACAAACTGTTTTGATGTCCAGTGGGGCTGAAAGTAGTGCTTAAGTGGCCTAACCAAGTGTGCCAGAAGTGTTGAATCATAGCCAGAGGAGTTATATAAACTCTCATAGTTACACACAGTCATACCGAAGCTATTTGACGGACAGCAACACACCCGTGGACTGAGCTGGCCCGTCTCACTCATGTGTAACATTATATCAGGATTCCTCCCAAAGATTAAATGTCTAAACAGACATCTGTTTTGCACAAGTATGCTGAGAGAATGATCTGTGTAACACAGCAGCTATGTTCCAGGAACGTCTTCCCTGGAAGCCGCACCGCGCCGGACAGTTTTTCTCCCAGAACAATATTGACGTTTTAAGACATTCTGCCTCAAACCTAATATTAATCGAGATAGTGATTAATTCCAGGCGCGTTGCGTAACGCTGCCTGTCTTCGCTGCCCTCGTTTTTCTCCTCTTATCACCTAAGGCTCGTCTTCTTGCCTTCCACTCATCCACATTCCTGCCCTCCAACCATGTAGGCCCTCTTCCCTGCTCCCACCCGCTGCCAGTTTACCTTCACACCAAGGGTTGAAGAGCATGACGATGTTCTTGCTGGAGTTGTGAGTTGCTGCGGCCTCGCCCTTTAGAGTAGACGTTACCACCGAGAGCCCGTACAGCCCGACCACGGCCGTGCTCGGAGAGTTGACGGACAGCTTGACCTTGTTGCCGTTTTGCTCGACGATCTTGGCCTCCCAGCGTTCATCTTCCAGCTCGTCCACCAGCGGAATGATGACATGGGTGCCTTTGGACACCATTGGCAGTGAACCTAAAGCAGACAAGTTATATTGTCACATAGATGGACTCGTAAAATTAATCAAAAAGGAAAGAGTAATATACTAGTAGAGATGTTATTAGCTTGAACTGTACAAGATGCAAAATTTAACTGCAGATTCCTACTCAATTAAATAGTTTTCATTTTGCATATTCTGATATTTTGGAGCATGCATTTTGCTCATTTTTATGCACAGAGCTGGATAAAAAGATCCATATCGTTCTCATAACTGTTAGTTAAATATGAAAGAAGCATAAAGTCTGTAAACAAGCGAGTCACCTTGATGGGTTAATATCAGTCTTCTCATCTAACTTGGTTTATTTAGTTCAAGTTTAGCGATTCAACTGACTTTCTTCATTTATTGAAGCTTTAAAAATCTGGTATCTGCAAATTAACAGCATGTTTCTTTCATTTGAAAAGAATAAAACTGCAAAAGAGATGAAAATTTGCAATCCCTCTTGACAGTGTGTGCATGTATCTAAGTTTATGCACACATCTTTGTGCACAAACAAAACGTCTTTGAACGACTTTTTGCTTTATATGCGAGAGTGAAAATTCAAATTGTGCAACTTTACAAGGTGCATTTAATTTCTCTTGTATTTCTGACCACGAGCGAACTTGGATAAAATCAATATGCACAGCCGGCAGACAGACTTCACTGCATGTAGTTGGAAACACAGTAAACGTATTCATGTGACAGTAATCGCATCAGTTCCTGCGGAGGACAACCATACCGAACTGTTAACCACAAATGCATCACAGCCTCTCCCGTGGCTGTACACGGTTTCTCTGAGCAAACAACATTCTGGGACTGGAAAGCCTCAAACACTGCCTAACACACACACACCCCTGCAGAAAGCAAAGCACATGCTGTATCTATGGGTCATCGTGGGACAATCAGCTTAAACGTCCCATTTTATGTCACTTGACATTTCACTAAAAAACCCCAAAAGACTTAAACACACACTCTCCTTCAAGTAAAAAAAAAAATGGCTATGTTTGGGTTCATTCCAGCCCACTAGCTAGATTAAAACTTATCGGATGCTTTTCTCTGAGCTGTTTGCTTTGCGGCACCCTGCTGGGCCGCCATTTTCTCAAGCAAGTACGGGGTTTTAACGTGCATCCATTGTTCTCCATCTGCCTGCTTTCGGCACTCCCCACCCTTCCTCTCTCACCTCTGAGTGCCTGTTCAACAGGAAATCAATGAAAAACACTGTCTTCATTTCTTGCTGCGACAATTTTGTCCTTATTTAAAACAGCCCTGAAATCTTTATTCGGCTTCCTAGTTGAGCAAAAATAACAGCTTCAAAAGCCACAATGATACAAATCCCTGCTTTTAGTGCACCACTTAAAACCCTTTTCCTGCAAGTGCGTCAGTGAAAGTGACGGTAATCAGAGCCTGCTGAATGTCAATTTGGGTTTTTTTCCTGCAACTACACAACTATCTCAGGAGCAGGTGACACCATATCACTCCTGCACGGTGATGTAATGGCCATTTTTTGCCGAGCGAGTAGTATGAGGGCCTGTAAATACCAGAGGGAGGTGTCCGGTGTCAAGGGGGTCTGGAAACTGTTAACACTGTGGGCTGCTGGGTGGAATCCAAAACTTGCGGTGCAGCTATGGTTGGATCGCTGCTCGATATAAACGTACTGGTTATGCGTTGTATTTTCACCATGTTTCCCATGCTTTGAACGATCTGAAATTTGTTTCTTTGCGTTTTCATGTGCAGATAATTTTGGTCAAAGGGGAACTCCAGTGATTTTACACATAGAAAGGTTACATGTGGTGGACAGTAGAACTTATACTGAAAAAGGAGTTGTGTAATGTGGCTCTAGAGCAGGGTTTCCCAGCATTTGTTGCATGATTTAACCATAGACTGAACATAAAAGATGGATGCAGCCTCCAGACCTAAACCTGCAGTCTTTCTAATGGTCAGCAAGTTTCTTTGCAAGAAGAAGTCCAATTGTATACAAGTCTGTCAGAAAATTACCCCACATCTCACTTGATTTATTACCACAGTAAGCATTTTCCTAATGGATTCATGGTCTCAATCGCTACTTTATAGACTTCCTCAATACATAATGGTGCTAGTTTGGTAAAATAAGGTCCTATTTAGAGGAAAATATGCAAAAATAACAAATCAGGGTATGTTTTATATTCAAGTGATCAGCTCATCATCAAGCTCTGCAGAAGCCTGAAAACGATCCTGATCATTTGAATCAGGTGTGTTGGAAGAAGGAAACATTTAAAACTTGCAGGATTGCGGCCCTCGAGGACCGGAGTTCGACACCCCTGTTTTAGGGCGTGACTACCTTGTGATGGTCAAGTTGATACCAGATGGGTATGTATAACATCTTCCAGTTCTCAGATGGTTAGTTGGTTGGTTTTCAGAAACCAGAATAGCAACAGTTTTTTTCTAAGTTTCCAAACATGAAACTTCAAAAAACTATTTCAACTGTTTAATTTACGTTTCAGTGACAGTTTATTTATCTTTATCTAGCTTTTTTAACTGTTAAACTGTTGGTTTAGGCTAACTATTTCAACTGTTCTATCTATTCACTATCTACTTTTACCTTGGCATTTAAACTGATTCTCTACTTATGGTGATCTATTTCAACAGTTTATTTACTTTTATCTCGCTATTTCAATGGTTAATCTGTTACCTTTGGCTAATTTAGCTATTTCAACTGTTGAACTGTTGGTTTTACTTCACTATTTCCATTGTTTATCTACATATAGTGACCTATTTTAACTGTCCATCTATGTTTAGCTAATTAATGTAACTGTTAATCTACTTTAATCTCGTTTACCTGTTGGTTTAATGTATTTTAACTATCTACTTTTAAGCTGAATTTTTCAGTTCTTATCTGCTTTCAGCACACTGTTTCAGCTGTTTTCTGGTTGGTTTTAGCCAACTATTCTAGCTGTTTACCTACTTTCAGCTAACTATTTAAATCATTTATCTGCTTTCCACAAGGTATTTCCCCACTTATGTGATAGTTTTAGCAGCTTTTAGTCAGCTCTTATCCATTAGCTGTAGCTGCACCCTTACCGTTAGCAATCCATTTGAACTATTTATCAGTAACTTTTGTTCACTCAGACTTCTTTCACCTCTTGCTTTCCCAGCACTTGGATATTTTTTCTTATCAAACTGGGATTCCTGTTTGTTCCCATGAATTGAGCCACTATATAGAAATCTTATACTGGTTGGAAAGTAAAGACACTGTCCCTCCATGAGTCTCATACCTGTTTTCATGTCCAGATGCAGCTTGTCATTGTCAGCGTAAAAGGGTCTGTTGAACTCTAGCTCCATCTGGAAGGTCTGTCCTCTGCGGATGATCAGCTCGTCTCCGTGATACAGGTCGGTGTGATGCTCCTGTCTGTTCTGCCCCGTCTTGGAGCTCAGAAGATCCATCGAACACACTGTCAGCTTAATTTCTAAGAGAGGAAAGTTGGATATCAAATTCAAGAACGTGACTATATTGCTGCTAACTTCTGTCATATTTTCTGTTGGAGTTGTCACGTTCAAAGTGACTGCCATTACCGTCTTTTTCCATTATGACCGGGGCCGGGGTAGGCGGTTTGGTGAATTCCACCTTATCCGTAACATCATAGGAGGTGCTGTTCTGGCGCTTACAGCAGCACGGACACATCTTCCTCAACCAGCGTCGACAGCCGCTCTCCTCCGGCTTCTTCTCGGCCTGATGGTGAATGGTCAGCTCCACCCGGGTGGGCGGCGCCGCCCCTGGGAAACGCCCGATCTCGGACGTGCCTCTTACTGTTAATCGCTCGCCTGGCATTCTGGAAGATACATTGGAGGGGAAAAAAAGTCATTTTCAGAACTGACATTTTGGTTGAAGATGTGAGTGACGTAAAGGGCCGCCTGGAAATTACAGTAATAAGCAAATAGTAAAGCCTGTGTCTGACTATTGAATGATGATGGATGTAGACTAACTGATTAGCAATTTCTTAAGCAAATCAGCTCTAACCACTTAAATGTAAATATTTGCTGTGATCCTTTGTCTTAAATTAAGTTAAACTGAATATGTTTGAGTTCTCAGCTGTTGATTAGACAAAAAAAAGGCAATCTGAAGACGTCACCTTGGGTTCAGGGACTTGGCGATGGACATCTGGTGCTATTCTCTTGCCTTTCATAGAGTAAACGATTATTTCTTGTACACATATGGTTTATATCTGCACCAGGTGGCGTTACAGTAAGAAAGCATGACTCTTGTGGACTATTTAGATTGAGATCCTTGATAGAGAATTAGTTGGCGCTTGTTCAGAAAATTGCTGACACAACCAGACATGCAAAAAAAGTGATTAGAGGTCATTACAGAGGCCGAGTGCAACAGTACATTAAGTTCCAGCGAGACTTTGTATTCATAACAGCGTGATTAACCAAACATCCCTCCAGTTCCCTTTTACTTTCATCTCTCCATCATAAAACCACCATTACACTTTTCTTTCACTTTTTCCCACAATTACCACATTCCTGACTTGGAGTGTACTCACTGGCCAAGTTTTCCCAAAGCATTCTGGGGTATTTTGCAGGTCGTCCTTGTCGGGAAACACTCCCTGTGTGATCTAACATGACTCCTACAAGCAGCTGGATTCCATCTGCTGGACCCGTAGACTTTATGTACCCCAGCTGCTTAGAGAGCAATGCAGCTTGAGGTGTCTCTTTGTGTGCAACGTACAGTACTGTGCATTGTATGGACATTTATCACGCTGTCACATCCCCACCCTCATACACTGCACCGATAATCACGGAGGAATTAGATCATTTGTCACACCGGAGCTACGGCTGTCCTTCCTGGACGTCCTAACATTTCAAAGTCAGGGTCAGATGTCACCCCACCAAATGATAACACTGGGGCGGAAAAGTGTTTACCAGAATGAAAAGCTGAAGGAGGACTGTACTCTTACGCCCCTTGTTTCTGCTCACCATCTGCATCTTCTCCTCATCAAAACAATAAAAGGCGGTGGCGCTGCATGCAAAAACAATCTCTTTTACCCAGCCATTAAAAGGACCGATGACGTTTTGTTAGCTCTTGTAAAACACCCATGAACCATAATGAGCTGCAGTAATGTACGTAGTCAGGAGAAATACGGTGTTGTTAAGTGTATATGAGATGCTCGTTTTATGGAGCGATTACTCTCATTTTTACAAACACTCCTTAAGCCCCGTCCCCTTTAGAGCTGTTGCTACTCCTGTCAGGTTTTCCATTATGGCACAACAACAACAATAGAGTTTACGCAAACATCCTTGAAAGAATTGGTCTACAATGTCATACAGGCGTAAAACAGCTCAAAAAGACAGTGGGGCTGCACTGGATGTCCAGGAGACCAAACTCGTGAAGGTCTTTCTGAGGCCAGCGTTAAGTTTTGATTGTGTTCGCTTACAGACGTGCACACCGACAGCGGCAAACACCACGGACACGTAGCTGTTGTTATTATACTGGTCTCAAGTCCGCTTGGAGATTGCTCGATGACTCCGTTCCATGCATGAGCAGATTGGCATCTATGTATTCTGTGCATGCACACCACTCCTGAGCATGTGGACTATTGACCTTGTCGCCACATGGGCACGCATTCTGTGCTGCAGGCCACGGATCCAGAAAATATAACACTGGATTTGTGGAGTTCCACATCTGCAAGGGGTTGTGAAACATAAATTTTGCTTTCTACCGAACTCTGAGAAAGTCTACGTGACATCCACGTACAGCTTGAACTTTGAGGTTCATGTGGTGACGACAAGCAAAAGTGTTCATGCACGGAATACGTAGATACTGATCTACTGGATGACTATGAAAGGAGTCCTTCAAGTGGACTAGAAAGTAGTACGAAGGCTTCGGAAAGGATTGGCAATTCAACTGGAGATTTTATTAGTTAAAGCTTGTTCGCAAAATCATGCTGCTTCATTCTGAGTTAGGTCAAAACTACATCTCCAGCTCTTTGTTTAACATTTACAATTCTAATCCAGCTTAGCATGAGAAGGTCTTGGTTAGTGACTTAATACACTTACATGCTAAAAAACAAACACTAAAGCGACATGTTCCACACAAAAAGTGAGCAAATCCTTCCCAGTTGATGAGTCTTGTATGTCAATAAAGGAGCATCTTGTTTTTTGCACTGCAAGCTAAAGCTAGTTAGCACAAACATTATAGCCGAGTATTAGATGTTATGATTGAATGTCATTTCAAAGTAGTTTTTTAAGGACTGCTATGGAAAAGCAGCCTCAAATACATCAGTAAAATCCAATGTTTCTACTTTGAAAACAGCATGTTGTGGTCAAAAAAAGCAAAGCTATCTCAGTTAGCGTATTGTGATCCTGTGAAGCTAGCACTACTTTTGTGGTTAATAAAGTACCACACAGGCTAACATTATTGGTTTACTTTAAAATAATGATAAAACATTTTTAACTAACATTATTGAGCTAATATTTGACAATAAGTGTTTGGTGTTGGAGTTAAAATGTGGTTATTGAGCATCTCTGCACATCTTTAGCATTTAAATGTAACTTTTAGCAGTACATTAGCCAAACACAGCGAGGGTTGGGCAGGTGATTCCAGGTGCCATCTGAGAAAAGTTATTGCATATTTCATGTAGATAAACGGTGGTGAAAGACTTCGATTAGTGTAGCTGTTCTGCTATTGATTTTTAAGATTAAATATTTGCATTGAGGAGGCACATCAAGCGGATTGATTTTGGGGGAAAGGCAGCGAGAGTGAAGTTTCAGAGTTCAGAGGGCAGGCAACAGCTGAGGAAGAGGTGGGAAGGAAGGGGGTGGTGGGGGGCGTCTCACACCATCAAACCCTCAAAGTCTATATGTAAGAAAAAAAAAAACATGCGAGTGTGCACCATGTGTGTGAGAGCGTGACATTATGTTCTCATCTGATTGTTCGGCTCTGTGGCTTCCTGAGTTCATCTGCCGGTCAGAGGACCTTCCCCTCCCTTCATTGGTTTCCAATATCTGGCAGAAGCATTCATAATAATTGGAACACACAATGGACCAAATCAGCTGTGTGTTTTGCTGCATGTTCCCCACCCAAGAACTACAGTCACACTCTCTGACCTTCTAATGTTAGTTTAAAAAAAGAAGAAGAAGAGGAACCAACACGCAGATTAAGATGAAGTAAAACTCAAGACAGAATTTAATACTTTGTGTTTACAGATTTTAACTTAACTCAAAGACAGCGGATGACTAAATATTTGGGGGTGATGAAATAGTAGAAACACAAAGGCTATAATTGGCCTAAAAGCACTGCAGCTACGAGGTCTTTCCAAATACACCAAGTGAACAAATGAGTTTCGGGCTGTTTTGTTAATAATTTGTGTCTTGACAGGCCTTTTTTTTTTTTTTTTTTAAAAGCACCATTATCTCACTACTGCACCTAGGTGGCCTAAAATTGCCCAATTAGAGTCATCCTCTCAACCCCCTAAAACCATGAAAAGCCATTTCCACAGGCCTAATTTTTTGGCAGCCTTGCTATTCCCTCACGCTTTAATGCACAAACTTAAATGGCTCTAATACAAGCATCAGCCAAGCTTGAAATGAAGTGTTCTTCATCTTTTTTTCTCTCTCTGCCTATCACAATTGTATCATTTCCCCCCACAGTGCGGTGCCCTCTCTGCCTCTCCTCTTCCGTCGCTTTGTGTTGGCATGGCTGGCATGCCTGCTGGACCTCGAGATAAGTGCTTTTGCAAATTCAAGTCAACTGTTCACAAGCAAAAAGGCCCCGGATTGTTTGCCTGGTGTTGTGGGCACCATGTAAAATTGACACATGATGAAATAATAACCAAAAAAAATATTGAACTTCACAGTAAATCCATGAAATGCCAACATTAAAAAAAAACCCAAGAAATTATTTAAATCCTGCACAATGCAAACCCTCCAGGTCTCCGAGAGAAGACCAGGGATAAGCTGCAGCTGGTTGGCCGACAACCAGTAAGGCTGAAGGCATGGAAATACCTGAACTAATTGGGTGTGTTTTTAACTGAAAATGGAAAATGCTTCCAACAACAAACAATTTCTTGGAGCTTAGAGGGATGAGGAAGCCCTTTCTTCACGCTGGAGACAAACCAGGTGAGCGGACTAATGGGACTTTTTTCTGCATGTAATAACAAAAAAAGTTCAAGCAGAGGTGCAAAACTTCAGATATGAAGGTGATGAGTAAGAAAATACCCCTGATGAGGAGAGTAACACCAGATCTTAAACTGTGTGATATGTTATGTCAAGCAGCTGGACTTCTTATTATGTTCTTGAAGCACCTTAAAGAGAAGTCCTGGAGCTCCTTAAGATGACAATCACCTTGATGGCTGAGAATCTACAGGTATGTCATGATATGATCTGTCCTTTTGCAAAGGTGCTACAACCCTAAAGGCCTTTTTTCTTTAATCTGACATCTAAGAGAATCATTCTGTAAAACTTAAATTGCACCAGAGACAGAGGAAACCGTTAGGTCAGGAGCGCACAGCGTCAAGTTCACACCCAACTTCACATCTCCCCCTAACAGAAAGAAAGAAAGAAAAAAGAAGTGACAGCGTGTCTTACTTTCTCCGTTCTTCTTTAGATCAGCGATGAAAGCTCTGTGTCTTCCTGAGTAATTATCCCTCAGCTCTTCTTAAAACTTCTGCTAACTTTCTTCTTTTTTTCTTCACTGGCTGCGCGCTTGGATCAGAATTCTTACAAGCCTGATCCTGGAATTCGTTGCGCGGTACTTTAAGCTGGTACACACCCCTCTTCCTCGCAGCTCGGCCCACCCAGCTCCACCCTGTGAAGTCTGAAGTTTCTCCCACTCCCACCAGGAGGTCCCGTGTCACTACGAGCGACCAGTGTGGGTGCGCGCTGCGTCCTGGAGCGCACGTACGCACGCGTGTGATTAATGATGAGTAGCGCGCATATGGATAGAGGAAGAGTGAGGCGAGAAAGTTCTGTTACGCAATTCTCAGTTCAACTTCTCCCTTGCAAAAAAAAAAAAAAAAAGGGAGCGTAGGCAGACAGACAAGAGGAGTGGGGCTTCGTGATTGGATCATTAAAGTGACTACAAATGTACTCACCCAATTAAACCAGTATGTGAGAGGTGATGTGTAATATACATTTCAAAATGCTGTTGCACATTGTATCATAAAGCTTATTCGTAATCACTCAAGCAAGACCAAAATAACCCCAAAAACCACTGTTTGACCGAAAGGAATTCCCCCCACTGCCAATGTTCCATTACAAGACATTTAACTTCCCCTTTCAGTTCCCCTCTGTTGCTTAGTGTACAGAAGAAACTACCTAAACCCATTCTGACCTCTGATCCAGTAAGGTTCCATCCTAAGATTAAGATCTGATTAAACCCTAAAAGACGCGTCTCTGTGTATCAAACTATACAGTTAGAAGGAAGGGGACAGAAGGAACAAATTAGAGATCCAGTTGGAGTGAACAGACATTATGAAGTCACAACAATTTCTGAAGAAGAATAAGAGAGTCCCACCCTGAAGTTGACAGGAATGGTTCCTTTGGTTTGTTAGGTCTGAATGCATGTTTTTGTCATTGGTACGCCACAGTTTCAAGGTGGAAATACACAACCGTTGCGTTTAGTCGTTACTTCTCTCATGATCTGTCCTCTCGAATATAAAAAAAACACCACATAGTCATGTTAACAAAGATAAAAAGCTTATTTTTTTATCCAAGGGCGTCTTTAAACCACCGGATAACAAGGAACAAGAGTTGAAATTGCTGGAAGGCATTTGCTGTTGCATACTGTTGATTTTGATCCAAAACGTCTACTCAGCAAAAATAGATGATGAAATGTTTTGCCAGGTGATGTTTCTCATAGATTCCAGGTAATCCAAAGTGCCAACGATCAATGACAGCAAACTGTCTGGATGACTAGATTGAAACAACAACATTGTGGTTGGCAGGAGATCATAATGATGTCATACATGCTCAGTGATGATGATGATCCAGTCATAATACCAATTAAAACGAGCTTTATTTCTGTTGATGAGCATTGGTTGTGCAATAGCAGCTCAGAATTAGATGAAAAACAGCCGCGGTAGATTCTTTCTTGGGCTGTTTTTGGTCGCTGTACATACAAATACCCGCCTGTTAACCTGTTCACAGTCACAATGCAAGAATGCAAATGTTTATTTACCACGTTCACCATCTTAGCTTAGCGTGTTGGCATGTTGCTAATTAGCACTAAAAACAAAGGACACCTGAGGCTGATAGGAATGTAATTAGGCTAGTTTTGCACGTCATGAACCCAAGAAGTGGACATGCTCAATGAAAAGTTAGAGGAACGCCAATGGACTTTATCCTCTGGGGTAGCACTGTCGCCTCGCAGCAAGAAGATTGTCGGTTCGCGTTGCACCGAGATCTTTCTGCGTGGAGTCTCCATGTTCTCCCCGTGCAGCGTGGGTTCTCTCCGGGTTCTTCCTCCCACACAGTCCAAAAACATGTTGAGGTTAATTGGTGATTCTAAATTGTCCGTAGGTGTGAATGTGAGTGTGCTTGGTTGTCTGTCTCTAAGTGTAGCCCTGTGATAGACTGGTGACCTGTCCAGGGTGTCCCCTGCCTTCACCCTGAGTCAGTTGGGATAAACTCCAGCCCCCCACGACCCTAGTAAGGATTAAGGTGTATAGATGATGGATGGATGGATGAACCCAAGAACTGGACATGCTAAATGAAAAGTTAGAGGAACGTCAATGGACTTTATCCTCTGGGGACTCTGTGTAAAATCTGACATCATGTCAAGATGTGTCTCTCAAAACTGGAACAATGAAGGTTATCACCAAAATGATCACACATCCTCCGGAGATCATGATTTTTTTACCATATTTCATTGAAATAAATCTAGCTAAATCAGCCGAAGTAAACATGTGAGCTCATAGTGGCACAGCAGGAAAAGCAGAGGTCCACCAAAACCAGCATAGGTCTCATCCTCCGGGGGTCACGACTGTCTGTGCAAATTTTAATGGCAATCCGCCCAATTATTTTTGAGATATTTCAGTACGAGGCAAAGCGGTGGACTGGATTTTCCATCAAAAGAGTTGCTAGAACCCCTGCAGTATACAACACACTTGTACAAATACAGTGACGCGAGCTGACTGCATTACTGACCGTATTTGTGTTGTATGTGTTGATGTGCTCCGTGCCCCGGGTGGCTGAAATCCACAGTCTGTCGACCCGAGAGAAGAAGCCATTGTTCATTCTGGGGGTGTTGGATTTAATACCACATTATCTCCTGCTGCACAACAGGGGATGGGGAGGGGGGTCAAGTAGTCTGGGTCAGGAGTTGGAGAAAACATAAGTAACAGAAAATACACAGTAAACAGCACAGCAACAAAAAGGACACCACCAAAGGGTTGATATGTGGCACAAACAACTCCTTAAATATATGCAGAATATAAAGAGTTTCATATTTTGTTCAAGGGTTTACTGTGAATCAATAATTCATTTCAGTTTTCAATCACTGACTAAGAGTCGCTGCCGGGTATTCAAATGGGCCTGTAATGGTTTACACAGTACAAGAACAGAGCCGTTATTACTTACACCTGTACTACTACAAAAGGTCTGCATGGAAAATGGCCCACTTTGAAACAAAACCCCATAAATTAATAAGACAGCCTTGAGGAATTGATTCATAAATTTGGCCCCGGTATCATTTGTTAAAATGTTTTTTATAGGACTGGTTGCTCAGAGCCATACATTAGATTTTTGTCAGGACTATTTGTATTTTGAAAAATGCAGACCATTTACCAGTCTTATTGTTGATGCTGCTGGCTTTGACGCCGGCGTGATAAATGGCAACGGACAACATTCGCGGCTTCTGCAGAGCGGTGGGCGTGAGAGGAAACACAAAGGTGACTCGGGTTCGCTGAATATCTGAGTATAACAGATGGGTTCGGGTCCTGGCTCTCACACTGTACGTGGGAAACCAAACAGCCAGCAGCGGGCCAACGGAAACTTCCTGACTGTGGGAGACACATTAGGATTTGGAAGAAAAGTGCACTTGGTGTTGCAGAAGATTTGACCAAGAGCGACAAGTGCATAATACAGTAAAAATAAAAAATGACTGGCTGAAGTTCTTTGTGTGTGGAAAACAAGTGGTAGGAAAACATTTGTTTCTCCGCAAACATTCAGTGCAAGTGGGATTGTCTCTGTGAGCAGGAGTGTCAGTGAGAATATTTTTGGTATGCGCTGTATTGACACGTCTCTGTTAAATAATAACCAAGCTCCACTGACCTTTATGCTTATCTGTGAGCAGCCTCAGAGAAGCCTAACAAAGCCACTGTACGTACAACTGCTTTATATATTCAAAAAAAAAAAAAAAGGAATACAGCACATTCTGCACACCTCTGATGCTAAATAAATTAAATTCCACAATCTCGGCTGTCTGCTCAATATCATCTCGTCCAAAGGTTAAAAGACATAGCTCAATAATGAACGCTTCATATCTTATTTGTAGAAATAGAGTATTGTAGAAACCATAAATTGTGTTTTTTTTTAGTTTCCACTTGGTTTTGGACTTTATGCTATGATGTGGTCGTCTGCTGTAGCTTCACCTGCAATGGACAGTTTGTGAGGGAGTGCTGTATAATTAAATAGTAAATAAATACATAAATATTTCTATGGAACAATAATTTGGGTATAAAACGAACCCTGGAATATATAAATGTTGCCTCGTGAAATAATAAAAAACAACTTCTTACACATATACAAGTGGTCCTTTGAGAAATGTTCTTTATAAAAAAAAAACAAATGATTACCTTTATCTATATATTTGCCTCATTCAGGATTTATTTCATCGCCATGTTCATATATTTCATCAAAATGTTTATTTGTGTATTATTTAATGTGAATTAAAAGGCATTAAACAAAAATTAGAAACAGCTAAGCTTACCATAAAGACTGATAAGATGAAACAGCTAACCAAAACTTATCCAACACAATAAAACCCACACATGTACAATTAAAGCTAAGGAGATAACACGTGCTAATTAATGGTGCTAGTAGGCAGATTTTTAGTTTATCTAGTTTTAGTTTTTAGTTTTGGAGAGGCTCCCAGTTCCCTATTGCTCCCTCTTATCATGTTAGGCCAAGCTAACTATCTCCTAGCTTTTTGTTTTTTTGTTATTTTCCCCCATAAAAGCATAGATTAATTTAGCAAGTGTAAAAGGTGCTTGTAGATGGATTTATGAATTTGGAAAGGCTATAGCTGTTCACCCTTGCTTCCAGTCTTCATGCAAGGCTAAGCTAATGTCAATTGGGTGAAACCTCCTGTTGTCTTTTTGTTGGCTAGAATAACCTAGCTTAGCATAAAGACTGGAAACATGGGGATAGAGCTACCCCAAAATTAGTCCACAGCAAATAACCACAACTTATCTTTTTATAGTGAGCTTTTTTTGTACAAATTCCACTAACAGGATAATGTGGGTTAATTAGAAAACTTTAGGGTTGCTAGTAGACAGATTATTGTTTCATTTTTTAAAATTATTTATTGTCACTTCTAGCTATATCCCCCTGCCCACCCACTTGTCCTGCTAGGTTAAGCTAACTGTCTTAGGCTCCCATTAAACAGACAGGCTGTGCACTGGTTAGAAATAACTAAACTGAAAATGGGGGAATCTGTTTGCAAAAAAAAACAAACAAGTTATCACTTTACAAATGCTAGCTATCCCCCCACTGCTTCCAGTCTCCATGCTAGGCTAAGCTAAAGAGCTACTATGTGTAGCATCATATTTAATGGACAGACTGTTTGTTGGCTAGCATAACCAAGCTTTACATAAAGAATGGAAACACGACGACAAAATTCTTCACAAAATTTGTCCAAGAC